AAACATGCACTATCGATACGTCGTTTCCATCAGTCTGAACGATGGGTCGTGAAGACAAACCTTCCCATATATGGGAAGCGGGGGACTTTAGATAGAGTGGGATGCTATAAATGTGAGTGCTGTGGTAACTCCTCTTTTTTCATGATATCAAGTGGCGGGACGAAAAGTCGTGCACCTGGTGGTAAGCGTCACGCCTATTCATTACATGCCTGTAATTTCACCAGCACCGTTACCCTTGTGACGGTGTGACCACCTTAGACCTCGTCATCTCATCTCATTGTATCGCCTCTCTCTGCTTGTATCCTATCTTTTTTTATTATACATTTATTTAAATTTTAAATTTGAATTGTTCCATTTTCCTTCACTTTCTCATTTTGTTTTCGTACCACGGTCACTCCCAGCTCGACCGCCACAACAGTCGGAGTTGTTTCAAATTCCATCGCGAATAATCGCTAATTTTGGTTCTTTACTACGTTTATAATAATTAAATAAGCTAAATCATGTGTAATAATTTATAAGTCTACAGCCTTCGTATACCTATATCTGTAATTCAGTTACTCGGCCCATTTAGGGGTAAGTGCATTAATAATAAAGTGTAGGGAGTGTTTTATACTGTTGTACCTATTTTTTTACATTTACCTTTTTATTGTTACAGCCCTTTCTTTTCTTTTAAACTTTATTTCATAAATAAATTTTGTGAACCGGAAGTTTCTCGTTTCATTGCCCTGAACCTGTTCACGGCTAGTTAGGGTTACAACCCTTTCACCCTTCACATCCCAAACGCAGTAATGCCCAAGTGCTTAGAGGCGGAAAAGACTGCAGTCTGACTGAATTTAGAAAATATCGATTCCAGCATTGTTTTATATCGGAAATGTAACCCAAGAGCTTTGTCTTATTGTTAACACTTAACTTAAGAGTCGTGTCTTCGCAACGCTATGATTTCGACGCACAGAGTACCACAGGACGTCGACGCGACGCATCGTGTGGCCATCGCTTTAACCCATCGAAGTCATAAAAACATTTTATTTCAATATCATCATATCATTGACCGCACAATAGCAAAAATGAGTCCCGATTGAAAATCCGACGTGCGCTGCAGTTCAAAAATGTATTTACGCCATCAGACCGACCGGTGGATGACCTAAATCTTCTTTCTGTATTCATTGTTTCGCACTTTTCAGCTTGTTTTGACTTTATAAACAAATTTTCGGTGTCAGTGTACAGTCGCATACAATATGTATACGCGTAGCGAAATTAAAATTCGTTTTTCATAGAAAGTGTCAATTGAGATCACAATTTTTTTACGTTAATGTTATTACATGTTGAATGGTATATATAATTTGATTTTAATTTCACATTACATATTCGTGGTGATCCCGTAAATAGAAAAAAACTTCATTTGATTTGAATAATCCATTTTTATTTGAGAAGAGAGAATGAATAAGAGAATGAAATGATGATCTTATTGGGATTAATAGTAAATGTCTTCATTGACCAATTAATGTATACGTCTTCGTTATTATATTTAAACCATGGAGCAATAAGTCAAGAGGCTGCTAATCGCGATACAAGATGGCGTAGTCATGTATTTAGTACCTACTGGTACACCAGATGTCGCTATGAGTACCAAATAGCTATTTTTGTAACTAATTTGTAAATAATTGACGAACTTCAATTTATCAAAGCTACTCTAATTTCTAGTGATAACAAATAAATCAACTAGACGGCGCTCATTGCACAATTTTATGGATACCGTCGGTTTTGTTTAGGATTAACGTCATCTATCCATACTAGCAAGCGTTAATTTATAAACTAGTTTGTAACATACAATGCCATCTATTGACATGCACATTTGTCAAAGTTTAGAAAATAGTTTTAACTCATGGTCAACTTTTGAATAGTATTGCAAAGAAAAAACTGACTGCCAATGTCATAGTAAAGATGAATTAATGTTTATTAAATTTTATTTTTAACTAAATCAACCTGTATTATAAGATAATATACAGGTAAGGTAAAAAAGACAAAAAAAGCTTAACTACTGGAAAGTAAAACTAGGATTTTTTAATTATATGAATTAATTGATATCCATGGCCATTTACATTATACACACTGCTTCCAGGATATCAATCAGCGCACTCTAGATATAAGACAGAATTTTGACTTTTTTCAGAGATACAATCTGTAGTATGGAAATAAGCAGTGGTCTTGAGCTATTGATCCATGATTTAAACTAAATAACAAGTTTTACATAGCCTTAAATAAGTCATTGTGTTCTAAATAAGTATGTTTAATATTGACGAAAATAGAAGAAGAGTACTTTTAAGAAATCTTTTAGTTAAAAACAGACTAAAGAAGTTAAGCTAGAAAATGTCCCCGAGAGTTGCGCCCTGCGGCATTGTACCCTTTTTACGGAAAGCTAAGTTTATTCCTTAGCTGAAGCCATTGTCAAACCTTTCTGGTTTTATGAGGCCATAACTAAAAGCTCCTAAGTGAGAAGATTTGTTTCTGGCCGTCAGTTTCTAGAATGAGCTATTAAAAAACCGAACGATAGCCAATTTCTGGTTACAAAAACGTGGGATTTGCTGTATCTAGATAGCTAGACGATGTTGTCATAGCCGTGGATTATAGACGTATGAGACAGGATATACCACGGAAAGTGCGCGATGGAATTGTGTGATTTAATTCCGCCTTTCTCTTTCCATCATCGGGGGGCTAGACGTAGGTTAGGGTTCCACCCCTATATCACCGTTTTACAAACCATACACTTGCGCAAATAATATACTTGCGCAAAGCAACGAAGGGACGCGCTTAGTTTGCGTGCCGAACGCTAAAGGTTGACGTGATTTTAAATATTTTATAATATTTTGAGTGAGTTCTACGAAAATCGTTGTATCTGCTTCAATACATTGTTCAACAATACGCAATAAATTGTTCATCCGAATACGAATACACTATATAGTCAAATTTAATAGTAGAAACTGAAAACATGAATTAAATAAAGTGTCACGTAAATATAAGCGCAACAGTTGTTAATCTTTGTAACTAGCTAGGTAGTATTTAATATATATTTTTACTAATTCATTATTGTGTATTGAGAAACATGGATTATTGTTAATAAATGTTACAATAATAATCATATTTTTCATTGTGTGACAACCCTTGCATATATGCGTACAACAGCGTAAGTACCTACACGAGTGGCGGCATTTGAAAGGCGTTGCGCTACTATAGGGAAGATACTGTAATACTGTGCCTATGTTGGATATTTTTAATTTTTTTAGTTAACGCCTCCGCATTTATGTGCGAACGGTTAAGGTGTGGAATTCGCTACTTGCAGACTTATTTCCTGAACGCTATAACATGGGCATTTTTAAGGTGAGAGTTTAATCAGGTAAGATGGAGTTCAAATGCGCACTTTTTTATAAAATAAAATATCGTGATGGATATCACCCAGCAGAGGGTGATGTGGTGTCAATGATAATGATGAGCTATTAAAAATCTTGGGAAATAAATATAATAATTATTTTATTATAAGGTCTCTTCGACATGTAAAGAAATATAATGCAATGGACTTGAAGGACATTCGTGGGCGTAGTAATCACAATGGTCTTCTAATCCGAGATACTCCGCTTCGTAGTAGCAGTCTTCGAGGTCTTCTTCCAACATTGAAGTTGAAGGCCTGAAATTTTAAAAAGACTCTGGATGTGTATTTTATTTTGAGCATTTAGAGCAAACTGTAGTAAAAGGAAGGCATAAAGTGGGTAGACATTCTCACAAAATGAGTGATTGCCGCACTTCTTCCTTTTGCCAGAAAGAAGCTCGCAAAGATCTGAGAGGCACTTCCACTGCGCCCGTCACCCTGAGACATAAGTTAACAAGTCCCAAGTGCCTGTAATTCCACCAGCACCCTTACCCTTCAAAACCGAAACACAGTAACGCTGACATTACTGCTTGGCGGCAGAAATAGGTAAGGTGGCAGTAGGAAAGTTTGAGATCCGTTGGGTGCAGAATTCCATATTCGAGTCCAGTTTGAGTTTTGCAGGTGTGTGCAGATTTCCTCATAATGTTTTCCTTCAAATCAAAGCTCATGGTCAATTTCAGTGCAAGGTGCAAGGCCAGGACTCGTATCCATGACCCTCTGTTTCATTTCATTCATTCATTCATTCTGTTTGAGAGACGGTAGGTCCAACAATTAAGCTAAAGCCTTTTTTACGAAGGGGAAATTTTTTATGCGCTTACCTACCTACTTACCCTTACATACCCTTGCGCCAGGAGACGCTCGGGGGTTATGTGGGACTAGCCTCACAGTTGAGGGGAATACAAACTAAAACCCTCTCCGTTTACCCTCTTGGCCAGGTTTTGTGAGCGCCGCTTGACCTATCCCCCTAGACAAATGACACCGTGCAAGTCTACCATGGCCTGCAATGTAACAATAATAACCTACGTACTATTTTAAGTAAAATGGCTTACGTGAGAACGAGATGCAAAATGTCTCCCAAAACACCGTTATGTAAAAAATGTGACGTAGTGCTTTCACATATTGCTCGTAATAGGCAGGCGCGACCCTCGAAACCGTGCCTGGAAAAGGGTAAATAATTACATTACGTGATTTAAATTCTGAAATCTTAAACATACAACAACTTGTTGCGTGAATTTGACCTACTTACTTTTCCAACATGTTTTCAAGGGTGACGTAAACATATTTTCTCGCTAAACCTTTTCTCGTCCCATCCGTGCTGCGGCCGTTTCTACCTCTTGAAATGGTCTGTAAATAATCAACAAAAAATATTATTTAGTACATAAATATAAATAAATAAATAAATAAATAAATCAATATTAGACAACATCTGAAAATGAAACTATTTTTCTGGATTTAAATCGCGTATACTTGTTTTTTCAAACAAACCATCGTTTCGGGCCTTTTACAGATCCCATGGTCACGGTTGACTGTCAACCGTGAGTTGAGATCTTCCTTGTACAGGTCACAAGGGACACAACAGCTAGTGCTGTATGGATTGTGTTAGACTAGAACCTTCATTTAGTGACCTGCATGAGTGCGAAATCGATTCAAGGTCCACGCGTTCCACCGCAGATAGTGCTGCATTGAAAAAGCAGTAGAGCTCCTTGTGTTCGTCCAGAGATGTACCACCTTACCTATTTCTCCAAGCAGTAATATGAGCATTACCGAGTCTCGGTTTTGAAGGGTAAAGGTGCTGGTGAAATGACACGTACATTGGACTTGTCAATTTATGTCTTAGGGTCGTATTCTAGAACTCTACTCAGGGCTCAAGTCAAGATTTGAGTATGGTTTAAAGCACTCGAAATCATACTCAAGTCCCTGCCATTAGGGTCGTATTTCCAGTGCTTGTGTTTCCAGTGCAATCCTGACTTGAGCATTGAGTAGAGTTCTAGAATACGACCCTAAGAGTGACGAGCGCAGTGGCAGTGTCCCTTAAATCTATGCGATTTAAAACTCTGAGTGGCACTGCAACTATATTATGGACACGCGTGTCGCTTAAACCAGGTGCACAACTTGTTGGTCCCATCACTTAGTATAACATTAAAAAAGAGCCTCCTCGCGGTGCACACCAAACACTACGGTTACATCTTAGTTTATTACGGCTGAATTTAATTTCAAGTTTTCTACTTACAACTGGCCACCTTGGATTCAATAGATAAGCGTGTCAAGAGGGTTATACGTGACTTGAAATAAGTATAGGCGAAGCTGCAGAGCCTTGAGCACCGCCGTAGAGTTGCCTGCTTAATTCTTCAGGATATATAGAGGGTGTGCGATGGAATTGCATAATTTGATTCCTCTTTCCCCTTTACATCATCGGGGGACTAGGCGTAGGCTGGGGTTCCACCTTCTACCCCTTCCACCGTTCCACCCCTAAACGTTTCGCTTCCACATTTATATGGCGAACGGCTATGGAGTGGAATTTCCTGTCTGCAGACTTGCTCCCTGAACGTATAACTTGGACCTTTTCAAGGCGAGAGTGAATAAGCATTATTTTTTATAAATATGAAAACCTAAGTTAAAAAAGGCTCTCGCAACTTACATCAATATCCCCAAGCAGTGGTTCAAAATATGTAGCATTATCGACATTATAATAATTAGCTTCGAAGAACCACGCGACACTCACGGTGGAGTCAGGGTGCAGAGGGACAGATACAGTTGCAAATACCTGTAAGTACAAAATAACTACTTAGGTTGTTACACATTGGAAATAAAATAAAATAAAATAAAACTATTATTTTTTACGGATCTGGGGGTCAAATAAAGTAAGTCAAATAAGTAATGCTCGACCAAATTAAACGCACGATTCGAATGAAGCTTCATATTTGACATTAGCACCCTTTTCACAATCACTCTATCGCGCGTAGTCAGGTGCGTACAGGAGTGCGCGCTAGAAAGTCTGCACGCGCAATCGTTCGTGCAGACTTTCTAGCGTGCGTTACCTGTTTGAATTTTTTAAGCTAACGTTCTTTCGCGCGCGACTACTCGTGTTCGTTTTTGTTACAACGAAAAGTGCGTCCGTGTAAAGGCTAATAGCGCGGAATAGATCGCGTGAAACTGGCGCGTGTTGGAATGCGCGATTGTGCGCGCAATTGATCATCGCAATTGCGCAGTCTTTTCCTTTTCCTTCCAACGTCTTTACACGAGCCCTCAATTGCGCACGATTGTTGGGATAATATCTTTTGATTTGGTTGAGTATTATTTGTTTGTCAAGTATATTTGTTTCTTTGTAAACCAACTGCCACTGCGCCTGTCACCCTGAGACATAAGTTGATAAGTCTCATATGCCTGTAATTTCAACAGTCCCCTTACCCTTCAAAACCGAAAAGGCTGTAACGCTCACATTATTGCTTAGCGGTGGAAATAGGTTAGGCGGCAGTACTGCCCTGGACGAATACTTTCACTTAACTGCTACAAAACTGTATATAGCCGCTCGCGCGATACATGCAGCCGTAGACGCATACCACACCTAGAGGTGCCGGTGATGATTTTATACCGATTTATCGGATATCGAAGTTATAACAGGTAAAAGAACTAATATTAATTGCTATTTCGGTAACTACTCTAGCAAACCATAAAGTTTTTAATGCCTGTGTCTGTCATTTTAAAAAAATAAACAACTTCAAAAATACCTACGTCACGACAATCGTGTGTGTTATTGTTTGGGCTGGTGATTTCGGTGTTTATTTATTGAAAACATACCGTAAGTAGCGTTTTTTAAGTTAACCCTGAATATAAATGTTTATAAACTATACTTTAAGGAGTAATTTCATGGTAAACGTTAGAATCACTCAAACGGAATATTATCATATTTACCCAAGTACACCAAAAATTTCATTAGTGCTTTTTAAGTGCAGGATTTGCGGTGTATTACTGCATTTTATTTGAGATGTTTTTGTTGCAGTACGGAGGGTATTTATTTAGCAATGCAGATAATAATTTTTATTTATAAAAACTTGTATTTAAACTGAATCCTTTTCTAATTTGCGAAACCAAATAGCCGCCATTTTGCGGTAGGATGAGCGCATCGCGTGAGCGGATAGTTACACTTACGCCCGCGTCGTTTATTTCTCATGTACAACACGAAAAATAGCATGCCATACTTATTCACGTCTTATATAAACAAATCTCCAATACAATGTAAAACTTTTTACTATGATTTGTTTACCGCGCGGGCCGTTGGAATTTTAATATCATCATTAGCATCCGAAGGTATTTTCATCTGCTAAATAGAAATTGATGTATACTTACTCCAAATTGAGTCGATTTTGTGAATAACAAATATCTTTTGGATCTCGACTTAATTCCTTGTGATTCGGTAAGCGCTGAAGGTATAACGACGAATCTGAAATGAAGAAATGTAAGAAATAAAATAAGAGCGATCACCGAAACAAAAGATTTAAAAGACAGAGACAGCAGAGCCCTATAGTGCTTTAAAGGCATATACACGTATGCAAATTTCTGTCGAAAAAACACGTAGTAATAATTTTATAACTTAGCACTACAAGGTATCGAATTCAGATCTGCTTTTACTTAAAATGAAATCCAGATCACGATGATTTTGATACAGTAAATACAAATACAATAAAAATATACGTACAACAAAACAAAATAATTAATCCACATTTTGAATATGAATCAAATTAAAAATAAAACAACTAAACAAGTTGAAACTGAATGTAGAAAAGGTGTTTACAAATGTCTCATTACAGTAGTCCTATGTAAGCATAAGTTATACTACAGTCACGTTAAATTAAACTATGCAACTGCACAAGATAAGATTCATTTTGGTGATTTGTTATTTTGCCAAAAGCAAAGTTTGACTTTTAAAATGCCTGTAGAAGTGTTAAGCAGAGCTGTAGGAACTTAATATTTGATTTTACAATTTGTGTTCTTGAAATACGTGTTCGACATACACAGTTTGTGTCACAGTATATAAACTTGTGTTGAACGGCTGCTGACATTGTGGTGATATTTGATACAATAGATGTCTATTAATGTTGTTGAAAAGTATAAATAATATCAAATAAGTCTATTAATGTTAAATAAGCTTTGGTCCTTCGGGACTGCGCCATGGCGGCGCACGTGTGCCAACAGCATGCGCCGTTCCACATACCTGAAGTCAGTCCGCCATTTTCGCTTTGTAGGTTCGGTTATGGTCGTGTCGTCTCACGCAAAACCTCGAAAATCATGAAAAAATGCCGTATTTTACTACTCTGGAGTGTAAAAATGATTGTCGCATCAGTAATATTATCCATGGTGCTGTTTCATATCACCATTTAGTCTTACTTTATTTTATTATAATAAATTTTCCATTTTCTGTTGAATCATAATAAATGTTGTTATAAGAAACGAAAGTAAATCTTATACCGCTGAAATAGCGGCCGCCGTCTCATTGTCTTTCAGCTATTGTCGCTAGATGGCAGCACATTGAATGAAATTTCAATATAAGATCAAAATGTCGTAACTTGTAATAACAGGTATTTAACTTTCAACGTTGTGCCAACTGGGTAAAGTTTTAATTATATTAACAATAATATGGAATTGATATTTGTTTTTAAATTAGAAAATATGACCAGTCATTATAAAAAATTTCTTAATGTTTAACATAAGATTGTGTGAGTTTTGGCGACAGCGGTTCTGATAGTAACGCCGGCACGCGATCGCGACTCGAGGACTTATTGACCTCATCGGCTATCCGTTCTGCGAGCAATCCACCCGCCCACTGCCAATTATGTTTTGCAATTATTTTGGCTATATTAGTAGCTCTGACTCTTTTGGAAATCTCCTTTTTTCAGATTCGATCTCGCGTCGAGACGCCCAACAAACTACAACAGCCTCATCATTGCCCTCTGGGTGACCTTGAGCCTTCTCATGAGGCCCATATTAAGCGATCACGTCCATGTGCCGTAACACATCACAATCAAATCGGTTTTTATTTTAATGTACAGTTTCGTCAAAATTAAGTTAACTCTATATTTGTACTCTGTGACGTCAATTGTCACAAGGTACACTCTTGAATGACCAAGTCTATTTATCAAGTAGGTGCTAATTCATGAAATAGAACTCAAGCGTGTCAAGCCAAATAAGGAATATAACTCGAGACCGTTGCAGAAGGGTAATGCCCTTTACGTCTAAGAAAGAAGTTTTTTTTATCAAAACTAAGTGCGCATTTGACCTCCGTCTCACTTGAAGTCGACAATGTAGCATGCACACCTAAATAATGCCTATTCACTCTCGCCTTAAAAAGGTCCACGTTATAGCGTTCGGGGAATACGCCCGCAGGCAGGGAATTCCACTCTCTAGCCGCTCGACATATAAATGTGGAACCGAAACGCTTCGAGCGAATTCTGGGAATATCCACAACATAGGGGTGGAATCCCAGCCCACGTCTAGTCCCCCAATGATGAAAAGGGGAAGGCGGAATTAAATAATGCAATTCCGCCGCACATACTCCGTGATATATCCTGTAGAATACCGATAAGCAGGAAACGGCAAGGTTCAAGGCTCTGCAGCTTCGCCTCAACTAATTCCGAGTCACCTATACACGCTGGTCGATTGAATCCAAAGTTTACAGTCGGCATTTAGCAGAGCCATCCCATAATAAACAGCAGAACTCCATACAGGACCGGACTTGTGCTTGGTACAGCTGAAGCAACTATCCCGGTGTGAAATAACGCCCCACCTTGGAAAGGATGCCAAGCTTCTTCGTTGCATTTTTGGCCATGGATTTAATGTATTTGCCGAAGTAACTTTCACGTACAAGTAATTTTGATGTCATGATTGACAACGCATTATAAGTTCCATTGTCGGTTACAGGGTTTTTTTATGATACCAAGTAACGGGACGAACAAGTCTGTCCATAGCAGTTGCAGTACCATTGAAAGTCTTAACCGCAATTGGATATTTGATGCAACTAACCACACTAAAGGATCTCTGTTAAACATCAATTTATTGAAACTAGGAGTTAAATGGGATTTTGTGGTAACTCTCTGCTGTGTTGTGGACACAGACTGCGTATTTTGCTTTAGTATTCCAACGACAGTTAAAAATATTGTACAATTGAAAATTCATGATTCTTGTGCCAGGTCAGGCCTGTTTCACAATTAATCAATATTTAGAGAATATTAAGAAGATGTTTTAACGACACCACGATCTGACCTGATGTTAAGAGACGATGTGAATGACGATGATATGCGTTTGCCTAAAACATGTCTATTCACTCTTGCCTTGAATAACTCCTAATTGTACTTTTCGGGAAACACAGATGCCTATAGAGTATTCCATTCCTTTGCCGTACGCATCAGAAAAGAGGAAACAAAGCACTTAGTGCGAATGGGTGGTATATCAACGACATAAGGATGAAGTGTTCTAGTCGGCCGAAAGAGGAACGGTGAGGGTGCACGCACACTCCCCGAACTGTATCCGATAGAAAACCGACAAGCAATTTATGCGTTGATCGAGATTTTGATGATCGAGATAATGGGCAGAGCCGTCCCAGTGGTGGCAGTAGTACTCCATACAAGTAATCGAACTTGTGCTTTGTACAGATTTAAAAGCTGTTCAGGTGTGAAGTACCGCTTATACTTGTAAAGTATGCCTAGTTTTTTGGCAGCAGTTTTTGCCAAGCACTCGATGTAGCGCTCAAGTTTGAGGTTAGATGATAAGTCCAAACCAAGTAGCTCGAGGTCGAGCTCTGATTGAAAAAAACCTATGCTACAAAGTTTGAAAACAAAGGCGTTCTACCCGTTACTGCATATGAAGCCACGTGAGTGTCCACTCACGACACAGCTATTGCACTAAAAAGTAAGTCGCTTAGCGATTGTGTTGGACGAGTTATGCTCGGAGTTTCTCTGAACGATGAGGTTCGACATCAGGTTATCCGATAGAGAATCAAGGTCATTGACATATTTAGTAAAATAAGCAAGCTGAAGTGGCAGTGGGTTGGCCATACCTATCGAAGAACCGATAATCAAAATGGGAAACGAGGTCTTGAGTGGAAACCACGCCACGGCTCGGCAAACGTAGTGCAGGACTCCCCCTGGCCAGATGGAGTGACGAATTTAAGGAGTGGATAGGCTAATGATGATGAGTACACTGCATAAAGAATGAAGACGTCAAAACAACCAACAATTCGCTACTGGCGCTTTCTCTTTTTAACCGACTTCAAAAAAAGGAGGAGGTTCTCAATTCCACTGCATGTTTCTTTTTTTGCATTTATGGTACGCGATGACTCCGGTATTTGTGAACTGTTTTTCATGATTATTTTTTTGTTGGAAAGAGGGTACCTCCATAATGGTCTCATTTAATTTTGAAAAAAATCATCCACCTCTAAGGGTGGCTGCTCCCTCAGGTTAATTTTTATAAATAGCACCAAAATTTTATTATAAGGAGCAATTATTTTAATGATTGATTTTGCTATTCTCCAATTCAAGGCGTTTTTCTCTCAATATACTGAGTAGTAAGAGCCAATTTATATTATCTCCTGTGTCAAATCCCGTATAGTGGCGAACTAGGGGATGAATCCGGGCTTGCGCACTTTCCGGTGACCGATTTCAATAAAACTTGGTAATTACATATAATTCCACGTATTTTTGAGGTCGGTTTTTTTAGTACTCTGTACTGAGATTATGCATACTTTATTCACCATGTACTGAGATGAAAATTCAAGAGGGTTTTGGCATTGAAATATAAAACATAATATTTGAAAAAATAGATCTTGCTGGTAGCAATACATACTGTATATGCATAAGAAACATACTCGGTAGAACCACGCTAATGTTGCACTGCTTTAAGAAAGTTTTCATATTTGTGATTCAGTTGCCGAAATATTTGTGAGGTCCTTTTCAGTGGAAATCGTATTTGATATCGTTCCGCCATAAATTGAAATTTTGAACCGGACTCGTAGTTTAACTGAATGTTTATTAATATTTTAACTTCGACAGTTGCGTTTCAATATCAATCTAAATATTTAAGCGCGATGGTCACAGTCTACATCTTTTAAAACCTTATGACTTATTTGTGACTGGTATATTGATGGTGGGAGTAGATATGTTAAGTGTTATGCTAGTGAGAGTGGTGAAATTACAGACGCATGGGAATTCTTAACTTTTGTCTCAAGGTGACGAGCGCAGTGCCTCTCAGATCCTTGCGATTTAAAGCTCTGAATGCTACTGCAACTGTTATGGATAGGCGTGTCGCTTACCAACAGGCGCACGACTTATTCGTCACGTCGTCGCTAGGTACTACCTATCAATAATTATAACTTTTTCATAAAAATACCGACTTCAAAAGATTGTGGAATAACATCTATTTGCCAAGTTTTATTGAAATAGGTTACCGGAAAATGCGACAAACCGAATTCATCGTCTAGTTTGCCACCCTTAAAGACGGAATATGTTCTTCAAATTTAAATGGAACCAATACTGAGATATGCCGTTTGCAAAAAAAAAAGAATTATCAAATTCGATTCAGAAATCTCGGAGAAATCGCGTAACTTACACAAATAAAACAATACAATTGAACTGAGAAGCTCCTTTTTTGTAGTCGGTTAAAAATAAATAAATAACGCACACACTCATAGCCCCGCACTAGGCAGACCCTCTATCCCGAGTACCATGGACATATAGGCAACAACAAATTACACCCAAACTCACGATAGAAATAAATGTGGGTCATACAAACATTACTCCCGGCCCGATAATCGAACCCGAGACCTCTGCATGGCAGCCCAGTATGATAACCATTTGGCTATGAATGCAGTACATTGTATATAAAATGATTCTTTTATAAAATGTTCTTCTAAAATGTGAATATTATTACAAACGAGAATTATATGAAATTATGGGATGCGTATTTATTCTAAATGAAAATTATATCAAATTAGCGTTATATCATTTGATTTGCACATAAGTGAAGCGCACCAACATTTCGCATAGTTACCACGTTTGTCATACGACTCCGCGTGGGACATCTCGATCTCTACTAACTTCCGAGCAGGGTTGTCGCTGATGTAGGTTTTTACACGTCAGCGGATGCAGATGCGGATGCTGATCTTTTTATATTAAAAAAATGTACATCCTTCTGAAACTATCTACATGAAAAAGCTTTCTTTTTTCTTTAGTATTGTAATAAAATATTATTTCAATGATTTCGTAATATTTATTAACACAATAATCCATATTCTGTATCTTAATCGTTGTGGTATTAAAAAAAAGTTTTATCCTTAAAACCAACAAACAGCTGAGCTGTTTTTTCGCTTTACAGTCTGTTTCAGAAAGGTTTGTAAATTATTCCAGGAGGGCTAATAGGAGGTGCGACTTGCGCGAGAGCGTATCTCGCGCTCTATATCGCTCTAGCGCTAATCGTTTTCCCTTTCGTGCTAGCCCTACAGCGTGTCTTTTAGATCAAGTCGCGACGAGAACATCCGTAATGAATATCAGTATTGATGATTGCGTATGTGGATACTTTAATTTATGCAGATTATCCGCGGATGCCGATGCAGATGCTGATATTCGCAACTACACTGATTCCGAGTATTTGACGCATGTCGAGCGTCGAGCTTCGATTTATGTTTTTTCGTAAGATTCTGAGAATACCATAAATTGTTTCCTATCGATATCCAACATTTTTTTTTTGGACACATCGCTATTGCATTCGTCTGACGCCTCACTGCGCTCAAGTAACCAAGCGTCGACGCGCGACTCCATATTTGCATAAGACAAATTTGTAACTTAATAATGGGAAAATAGAGATGAATATGCTATAGGCGAAAAACATGACGCGTTGCGACGCTTTGACTCTGGGCCAGGGTGAGTTGAGGCTAATGGTTTGACTTACTGCCATAATCCGGGTTCACATCATGAGTTTCTCGGAATTTATGTACGAAATTGCATTTGAAATTTACCATTCACTTTTCGATGAAGGAAAACACCGTGAAGAAACCTACACGTCGAAGAAGGTTCACAACGCTCGGAAAACGTGTGAAATCTTAGGACCCGCTTTGGGCCAGCATGACAGACTATGGCCTAAAACCTCGCCTCTTTTTATAAAGTTTCTCAATAGAAAGATAAACGTATCAAAGTAAGCAGCACTGTGTCTGCTGTCAAAAAGATAGTTGAAGTTGATTAATTTGAAAATAAATCCTTGCTAGAAAGGCAGGAGATCTACGCGACAAAAAAGTTTGGAAACCTCTGGTCCATGTCTTCTACTGCCTCTTTTCTTCATGTTTCTAGGAAAACTGTCGTGACATATTAGGCGCTCAAACATCGTTCCCCTTTCGCTTCTCTAATTAATATGCTTCTCGTTTCTTACACTATAAATGTGTTATTCTATGAATTAAATATTCAAGTATTATTATAGGATAGTACAATAATAGGTTGTAAAATATGTATTCCCCACACTATAGTAACACCCCAAAACGTCAAAGAAGATACAGCTGTCATGTTTAGTCAGTAACTGTTATTTGACATGATAGATAACACAAAATGTTGCCGAAACAAGCTACAGAACATCGTAATCGAATGTCACAAATGTCTCGGGCAATCAATACGAGATGTGAACGAAATTTTCTTATACTTTTGTAAGTACGTATATTTCGCTCACAGTAAAAATGAAGAAAAAGTTTTTTGTTAAAAGATCTTTAATAAAAACACATAGAAGAATTCCGACAACTAGATAACTTGACCCGTAGCTCAGTTGCTGAGAGCAATACTATGGTACAGTACTTTCGTGGGTTCAAATTCCATCGGGTTTTTCTATGTGTTCGATATTTCTATTAATAATCATAATAAAAACTGGTGGAGTAATTTCACATAAAAAATATTAATATCAATTCAATTAAAAATTTTAATGCTATAAATAATGAAGAGCGACATCTCTTGCCGGGGCTGGTAGCTGTAAAGGTATCTAACTGGGTGACGAAATATCATAGATTTCTCATAGAGGCAATACGGCTAAAAAGTCGATGAAAAACCAAATACAAAGATACGACGCAAGCACATATAAAAATTCGTGAGGTCCGCTAGTTTGTTCCGCGGCTTAGTTGGTACAGCGTGTGTCACGGTATGCTAGAAGACGTCGGTTCGAATCCGGCCGGATCGAAGGAACGATCTTTGTATTAATAATGATAACAAACTACTTTTATTAGTTTATGGCCTCCATGCGATTATAGTATATTACAAATTATTGGGTGAAAATTACATAAAAACTAAGAAAACTTTTTATACCACAAGGCGGATTGCAGTGATTCAAAACTCATTCTTATAACAATTTTATAACCTTTGTATCACAAAGAAATAAATGCTTTATGGTTTAACTGTGTCAAGAAAAAGAAAACTTCTCCTTCGAAGACAACATTTACCGAAGCGCCAAAGTGCACATGTTCAAACGAGGCTGCCCCAAATCACTGGGAAAACATAACGGTTCATTAGAGGCAGTCTCCGTATGCAAACACACATTTTATTTTAAACAACGTTCATGCGCGGGTGGTAGTGCTCGATTTCTTAAAAAAAAAATGGCTCGAGTGTTAATTCTGCTCAATTTGGTACTATTTGCATCGGCGTATAGACATAAACGGTACCTCGTGTACCCAGACGGAGGCCCCGCTCGAGCGCAGGTATTTTTTCTCTCTCAATTCATGTAAATTTACATAACGTAGCTGATTTAAGTTAAGTAAATGATGTTTTCTTTGCACAGTGGATCCGGCTTAACGAAGCAGTGTTTTTGTTCGCGAATTTAAATGCAATTAAGTTGCTCGCTCTAGTCCGCTTTTTGAAGTGTGCTGTGAGGTTTATGTTTCGTTTTGTTCAACGGTAGCTTTGTGCTCGGGTTGCTTTCTTTTTAAAGTTATTTTTGAAGAAATTTAGCGAAACATTCTCTGTTACTTCAAACATGATGCTCTTTAATAGAAAATTTTTGAGATTCTCCGCCGTAACTGACATAGCTTAACTTATTTTGATATCTTGCGTTAGATAACGATCTATAAAAGCTGTTTTGGTAGCTAAAACAGCTTAATCATCAAAGTTATTAATATTAATGATTACTTCTTTAAATGTAATAATGAACTCATCATTATATAGGTGAAACGAATAAAACCACCTGCTAATCAACACCAACAATACTTGATTTGTTTTTATTTAAAACTAGTCTGAAAGGGTGGGGGCCTAGTGAGCTGTACCTAATACATGTCTAGTCGCTTAATACAGACTCCAGTTTCTTATAAGGTAAATGTTTAACATTGTTAGTCTCTGTTTAAATTAAGATCTATTCCTTTGTGTTTAGGTAATAAAATCATTTAATCTTTAATCAAATATCGATCTGAAGATCTACAAAGATGGTGATTTGACATTAAGTTATTCCGAAGCTTCAAATGACAGCTTTCATATAGAATTTTGACATTACTTTCATCGTAAAACTGACAAAATATTGTACGTATGAGCTTCGTTACGGACGCAATCACGTAGTATCGTATTTCGTGATAGACTTTAAGATCGATCAGTGGCGTTTCTACTCAAATCTTGCGTCTCAGTTGTGTCAAATATCTATGTCTATTAAATACAGGGAGCCTCTTTAATGGAGATCATGTTTTAAGGGACAGCTTAACTTTAGTGTTACAATTTTGACAACTCCCTAAAGATATTTCGACTCCTTAAATTTCTTAGAAAACTTTGAAATTTTGGTTAATTTCGTTTGTCTAAATTTCCTTAAAAAGGAAATGTTAAACGACTTAGGACGTAAATCACAATTCATGCATACCACCCTTGGTTCCATGAACGAAGATTTCTGGTCGCTTAAGTCAACGTTCTTTGATTTTCGTAATTAAAACTTAGTATTCATAAGATCACAGACAACTAAAATAAACAGTCCAAAGAACTTTTAACAAAGCTCCTATTATTTTCCTTTTGTTATTGTTTAAGGCCGTTCAAGATACTTTCGTCTTATTTTTAATTAAATTATCATTTCCGATTTGCTTCTCGTCCCGAGAAAGTTCGAGGCGGTAAAACTTGATTTAGCCACAAAGGAATACTAATAATGGACAAGATAATAAAAATTCTTTTAGTACAAAGATTATATTTTATGAAATTTGGGGTCAAGCAATATTTTTCGTACTGTTTTCGGGTAGCTATATTTTAATAACCATTTGTGGTATAATTGCTAGGGCTATTTTGCGACATGTAAATATTATATAATAAAGTGGCTGTTCTTGATAGTTGTCTTCACAAATTCAAGGGACAGTGTACATATACACTTCTTTAATCACATTCCGGTTGATATTCAAAATTTGCTATTTCAAAATTCATTTATTACATATACATTTGTCTACACTCCCAGCGCCACAGTACAAACGAGATTTCTGATGAAGTAGGCCATGTGGGCGGCGCGCGGGACACGCATTTTTTCCCCAGCACAACTCACCTTATCTCAAGTAACTTTTGTAGCAGGCCATGCGGGCTGCCGGCGGGACACCTCCAAGCGTTACCAGCAGGCCGCTTGGTACTCCGTGATCCTAACAAAAACAGACAAATGTCACCACTAGGGATGAGATCGATACTTGATTACGATCTGGATCAGTTGTTAACAGAAGAGCCAAACAATTGGGTGACACTTAATTGGTCAGGACTAGAAAACTCGAAAATAAATTTTAATTCCTAATTGTGGTATGTAGGTAAAATTCGAATTTACATTGTGGCCTGTTGTTGTTTTTGTGGGCTGCCGGCGGCCCGCATGACTTGCTGGTTAACATTTGAAGATACGTAGTGGCCTACTGCAGTCGAATATTTGTGGGTGGCCGGCGGCCCACATTGGCGTTGAGAGTGTTATGATATATATTATATGGGTCATAGTTGTTGTAATCTATGTACAGTCCCTGCGTGCTTGGATGACAAAAACTACGGCAGTGACACCTTTAACCTTTCAGGTTGTCATGAGTCATGACCTATAATGTTTAAATGGTTAAATTAATGTAGTAAATGATGATGTTGATGATTTTCTCCTACTTCACAGTTCATCCTTGGTCTTGGTATTCCAGTGGACTTAAAAGACACTTCTGTGACTGTTGGCACCGTTATAAAATTCCAATATGATTTACCAACAAACAGTACTGAATACACAAGTAGAATATACGGATTTGCTGAAACAGTGTCGAGAGATATGGACGGTAATATGATAGAAGGAGACAGAGATGATGACAAGGAAGTTTCTGAAAGTGTGACTGAAGTTGAAAATCGTGACGACGATGATAATAATACATTAGTTGATATAACATTTGACAGTAGGAAGAAAAGAGCTCTATACAGTGAAGGCGGTATTATAAATGCAATTGACGGGTCTGTGAATTCAGAACTACCCTTAGAAGAAGCTATAAGACGGCAGGAGGCGATTGATAAAAATAATTTGGATGAAGAACCTCAAAGAATGAATAGATGGGATTTTTATAAGATTATAGAACACATGGCTGAAAGGTAAGTAGGAATGATTAGTTCTCATAAGTAAGAAATATAATATAATTCTTCCCACGAACAAAAAACAGGGTTATTTTTCAGTTAGACACACATAAATATTAAATACAGAGTATAAGAGAATGAAAGTAAAATTGTATAATTAACATAAATGTAATAAAAACGCCAACGACAAAAAAACAAAAACTGAAATAAAAACAAAACAGCAATTTGTCGAGCGCCACACAACATAATGTAGTGTAATAAAACAATAAAACAAGTAGTACACTATACTTGTACAAAAATATCAGTATTAGTAGGAAGTATTGAATTTGACAAAGATTATAAGCATGATCATACTGAGAAGAACACTTTAATTTATTCAAATTATGCTTACAACTTGCAAGTACTAGTAAAATAATGATTTGACAACCCTACGCTCCAAGCGAACGCAACATGTAGGCATTGACGAGCCGAAAAAGCCGGAGTTGGACTACTTGCCTTAACACTATGCGCTTAAGTGCGAAAGTGCCGTTAGCTTAGCACTTTAAAATAATCATTAAAATATGTGGAATGCAATATTGACTTTCTTTCTGTCATTCGTACTTTTATTGGTACCACTATTGATTTGGGACCTTAAATTTTCATGAAAAACTTAAACCAGCTTTTACAAAATTTCAGATACGGCTATTCAGGTCGCCCTTGTTTACTTCGAACAATCTGCGAGGCGGCCCAGGTTCCCTTCACGCACGAAAATGGCTTGCTCGCCGAAATTGGCCATATTTTATTCACGTAAGTATTATAGGAGACTTGTAAAACGCAGAGGCAAAGATTGGAGAGAACAAATTTAAATTTAACAAGCCTTTCTGCTTGTAAATAACTCGTACATACAGCCACAGGTAAAGTTATGTAAATTGTTATGTGAACTGCAAATTTTGTCGCTATGTAAATGAGGTAAAGTACAATTTTCAAAAAAGAATTTTGACATATCGTTTATTTTTAAAGTTGTTAGTAATTTTCAATTAAGTTTTTTGTACTCAATTTTGGTGACAATTCTTATTATTTAATACCTCGAATATCCTCGTGAAATATTAAAGAATATTTCATTCAGGTTACTGCACTCGAATATTAAATAATACTTCATGATCATATTATATAAATATTTAAATAAAAAGAAATTGTCACCAAAATTGAGTACAAAAAACTTATCGGAAAAATACCCATGTAAAGACGTTGTTTGCTGACGTTGTTTGTGTTTTATTTATTTATTTATTTTTTATTTATTTATTTATTTTCAGGTTACAAAAGACCCATAAAACATATACCTTATAGACTAACATACATAATAATATTGATATAGTTATTTTTGATACAAGTGCGGAAAGTTAGTCATTATTCACGAGTCTCGAGGCATCGAGGCGTCAAGACTCGAGACAAGTGAAAATGACAAATCCGCATGTGTATCAAACAACGTTTTTTAATACATTTGCGAAAAACCTACATTGAAAGCATTGACTTAAAAATAAATGGACGACGGGTCTAATACAAAAACCACGAAAAAAATGTCCCAAGTCAACCTATTCGAAATTTAAATTGTAATGTCATCGCAGTATCGCGCTGTCAATAAAACAAATGAAGACTAAAGCGGAGTGTCGCGCTCTGTATACAATTTTAGCGCCTTACAAGTGCGGACACTTTTTAGCGCGGACCCGACGTCCATATAATTGTAAGTCAATGATTGAAAGTAAAATAAAACAGTATTTAAAAAAAACCTCATTTTATTCCTTTGTCAATAACAAAATCAAATCGTAAAAAAGTTAATGAAAAAGGCGGGAATGTAAACGATGAAAAAAATTAGTACTTTTTTTGGCCGACTTTTTTCAATATGGCAACTGTTGCCAGTATTCAGCCACATTAAAATTACTATTTTATATTACTTTATTTTCTACATAATCGCTACTAAGGAGCATTTACTTCATAGGTGTAAAAATCCATAGATATAGTATAGTAATGACGAATGACTTACGTCACAAAGCACATAAATATGAAATAAATACACAATCGCTTTAGTTCTATGTTTAAGACTTAAAACAACAGTAAATTAAAAAAAACTGGAAAAGTAAAAAGCACTAGTGCGAGAAATCCAACTTTCCGCACGATTTGTAGTGCGAAAAATACCACGTTTTGAGCAACTGTATTAAAAACTATTTATTTATTTATTTACACGTATGGACCGCCGTGGTGGATACGCAGCGTCCACGTTTGGATTCATACATACTTATAGAATATAAAACCTAGTGGGATACCACCCTCGTTATGTTATATATCTTTGTGTGTGGATCCGAGTTTTCTCGCTCTTCAAACGCCCTTAGGCCACAAATTCGCAACGGTGGTGCGTCCAGTGGACCGTTCAAGGTTTGCACGTACATTGTGTCTTGTGTTGGATGTATGGAACACAAGACTCACGTTTGCGCGCAATATAAGCACAAACCTTGAAGCCCCGGTGACCTTGAGTACCACCATACCGAATTTGTGGCCTTACATTACTTCAAATGTAGTGTCGTCTTTTACGTACGACAAAATGGATCTTTTGCGCTTTTGAATACTAACCATTTCATTTAACAGCTGCACCAACAATGATTGTCAAAGTTAAAACATTATACGGCAAACTTGCAACATTTAACGATGCCGAATATCTAATTGGGTAATTTCACGGCCTGATGTTTTGTTGATGAGACAGACGTTGGTTGAGCACGAAATGCCTAAGAGGTCATAGGGTCAAAGTAATAGAGTAAAGCTATACGTATACAGTCGTTCATATTAGAGTAGTTAATATATTTGAAGGAAATAGTATACAAAATACATAACAATGAAATTTTCTGTATCGTTTACTTCAAGATGGAAATCTTCATCGAGATATTCTGCTATGGCAGAATAAGCTGAATTTATTTATATATAACTATGGTTAGCATGCAAATATATACGTGATTCAACTGTTCATCAAATTTAACTATTTATGAAATTAAATTTAACTAAGAGGAATTGTTGCAAATAAAGTAAAACTAGAAACGATATAAAAATAAATTCATGATTAATATATCAATAATTAGCGTCAAAGAATTCTGGCAAGGAGTAAAAAGTTTACAATTTTATTAAGAAATCAGAAGAATTGAAGAATATTTCCCGTTTGGATAGTCAAGCTTGTCTTTAGCAGTAGCAGCTGTTAACACAGAGAACAGAAAGCTCGTTGTAGGTTTCGCTTAAGGCCACCAGAGACCCAGGGTTTAAAACTGTAAAAGGCATAAAAGTGTAACACCAGCTGAGGTCGAGACAGGTGGCGGAGTCCACCGAGAATGTTCCATACCACAAAATATACTATACTAGTACAGATATCCAATCTCATGACTCAACAAACCGATTTCAACCGCAAATTTCTCATAGAAATGGGACTATAAATCAGTTTTTAAAACTATTATTCAAATTCCAGGCCATCAACAACCAAAGACACGCTTTCCCATCACACGGACAACGAGTACCACGCGGCAGAAAGAATCGGCAGAGAAATAGAGGTTGGATGCGAGGATTTATTTCCAGAATGCGAAGGCTCCATTCTTGATACCTTTACTGCAATCGGCGAGGATACATTGCATAAATTTGGACTTTTTTAAATATTTGATGATAATGTGACTTTCTTTTACCCCATGTTTGATGAATACGCCAACAATGTTAAATTATTATTAGTATAAGGCATACAAAGTCTATCCAACAATGATGGAAGCAAAATAAAAGTAGAAGTTTTATTTATTTGTTATCAAGTGACGGGATGAACAAGTCGAGTGCTTGGTGGTAAGCGACACGTCTACCCATAACAGTTGCAGTGCCACCCAAAACCATAATCGCAAAAATCTGAGTTACTAGAACTACGCCCGTGATCGTGAGATATAAAGTGACGGGTCTGTAGCTTCATCAGCGTCTTTACCCTTTAAAATGTTCACATTACAGCTTGGTGGGAGAAATAAGAATGGTGGTAGTACTTCTCTAAAATGATTATATTGAAAGTTAATTAAAAAATAATGGATAAGGCACAACATATAATTCTTGCTTAAATTATCAATTTTTCAATTAAATCGTACCATGAAGTTTTGTAAACATATCAATTACAGAAACTTTACAATCATTATACAAGGTAACACAATCTTCATCATTATGGCCACGATGGTATGCTCGTATGTAATGGTACTGGTCGTCTTTCTCTGTCACTCCATGGTCTGCGTCATTTGTTGGACTGGGACAAAAAGAAGAATTTTAGGAAAGAAAAAATAAAGCCATGATAAGCATAGCGATCGCCTCGCCCAGCAAAATCAAAATATACGGGATATCCCGATTACCGGATGACAACATTTTGAATGCTGAATTTCTGAAATTGATTTTTTTTCTCTAGAATTGCAATTGCAATTGCCCGTGTACCTCATTTCGATAATAACACCAACAGAGAGATGTGATAGTTCAGTGTTAGAGCGATTGCTTCTGTATTGAGATTCCAATCTTTAAATAACTTACATTTATCGAGCTCTTAGGTTTACACGATTGCTACAAATACGAAATCTAAATTTTAAAAATTTTAAATTTTTCGGAACTAAAATCACGTATATTTGTTTTTCGAACAAACCAACGTTAAGGACTCTTAACTGGTCCCATTTGACATCAATTAGTTACCACTAAAGTACTTATACAGATCCAGGCCCAACGAAACAATTGCAGTCGAATAAATAATATTCGATTTGGTCGAGTATTCGAAATCGAGAGCGGGAGTAGACCCCCAGAAGTGTTGTTTGTTTTAAAAGCAAATATACAGAGGTTTTATTTCTTTTTTTGGTGATAGGTATGAAGCGACGGCACTAACAAGTCGTGGGTCTGGTGCTAAGCAACAGGCCTATCTATAACAGTTGCAGTGACACTCAGAGCTTTAAATCGTAAAGATCACGGGGCACTGCCACTGCGTCTGTCGCCCTGAGACGAATCCATATGCCCATAATTTCACCAACACCCTTACTTAATGCTCGCATTACTGCTTGGCGGCAGAAATAGGTTAGATGGCAAGACTTTTCCCTGTACGAATATATCACAAGGAGCTCTATTGCAACTTTTATAATTACGTATCTGAGAATATTTATTAGCGATACGTCTAGCTAACAGTGAAGGACAACATCCTGATGACACCTTCATGTCAAACAAGGTTAATAACTTTTGAACGTGTCCCCAATCTGCATTAGGCCAGTATTGTGAACTACTCAATTGCAATTTGAATTGCAATAAACAGTGCTATGGTTCATAAATACATTTACCTTCGTTTGCGCACAACGTCCGATTCGTATCAGGGGGCTACTGTCGATCTCCGTTCGACATTCGTCCGAAACAATTACTGTCAAGTAAGTAATATTCGACAAAATTAAAAGACAAGTATCCAGTATGAAGCTTCATTCGCATCACGCGTCTTTTCATTTGGTCAAGTATTGCTTATTTGGCAGTAATTGTTTCAGACGGATGGGCGGAGATCGAGAGTAGACCCCCAGTTCCAAATCCGAGAAATGACGGTCCGAAATGTCACAGAGGTCATTTTATCTTTCGGAGTACAAGCGATATTCGTATTTTCTGGGATTCGAGCACAAGCGACATTCGAAGCGGGCCCGTGGTTTTTTGGTTGATTTGGTTGGACTTATCTTCATCATTATTTTGTTTTGGTCTTGACTAGGTGCTATTTCGAAATTGAAGAACTACAACTTGTTCCAGTAATGAATTCAGCAGATGACACTTAAAATATATATTTGTGATTAAAGCTATGTGATTGGACAGTTTAAACTTTGCACTCCGTTTAACGTGATATGAAAGTCATATGATTGGTCAGTCGAATTCCTTACCGCATGTCACGTGATAATAAAGTGATGTGATTCGTCAATTTGAATTTACCACATTTTTTATGCGAATAAACTATAGCGAAGTTTGTACTGGTTTTCAAACAGAAAAATAAGACTTTAATGAAGCTAACTTACTTAAGAACAAAGCTGGCAAGTTCGTGAAGAAGATCTTCTTTATCATCAGAATGAAGAGGTTCGGCGCCAAGTTGACACAAGGTTTTTAGTACACATGATGACCCGTTATGTCCTAAACTGAAATAGATAAATAGTTTTACAGCTATAGTCTAATCAATTGTGGTCGACACTCGATCGACAAAGTGTTAGTAAATTAGCAAATTTAATTATGATACTGGACATTAGCCATAACATTTCCCACTTGTTAAGTACTGTGGTCAGGAAGATTAGATTCTCGTATTCATCCTGTTTTTATAGACTGTTTTAAAGTATCAAAACAAACATCCATAACAATTACCTGATCTCTAACCAAATCCTATACTGTGAATTCACTACGGGGCAGATCAGGGGGTCGATTCAGAACTTTCCGTTAACTCAGTAGTCGACCGATTCGATTTCATATCGTACGATTTCTTTTCATTTTTATTCACAACACCCGAATCGGACGTCAAATTGTCGTATTCGAAACCGAACCGAAATGACGTCACACCCATACGATTACGCGAACTTCTCGACTTATTCAGAACACAGTTATCAAGTGAAAGTTAACGAACATCCTATTGTTTACAAAGCAAGAATGTAATATTGAAATCTCTTATTATTTTAAATAAAGTCTGGATTTTGTTCAATTTTATTAATTTATTTAATGCAAGATTAATGCATTCCTATAATTTAGGCCTATAATGTCTTCAAAATGTATATAAAAACATTTTTCTTATTATCTATTTCACCGACTAACTCCGTAAACGCTGTTGAATTATCGATATCGTATCCGAATCGAACGTTTGTCTTATCGAATCGAATGATTCGGTTAAAATATCGAAGAGTTCTGAATCGGGGTCCAGAGCACCCAGACAAAAACCGATTTAGAAAAGTTCATTTCCTAAATTGGCTTTACCGGGAACTGAATCCGGGACCTGCACATCCAACGCTCACAGTGCAAACCGTTGGGTCACAGAGGTCGACTTTACTATTTATGTTTAGGCATTTGTATTTTATCAAAAAATACAACTTAGGGCTTTTTGAAGGTTATAAGTTATTCATTAAATAAATATCACAAAGGGTTTCGTATTAGAAACATTTGTTGAATAAAAATAAATCAAAATATTAATTAATGTCATATACACTATTACTTACCCTGCCAAAATCTCCTCCACGTATTTATAAAAATGATACAACTTAGCATCATTTTCATAATCTCCATCTCTTTCCAGCTCCCCATAAATGCTATTGTCGTCCCTTTTCTTTCTAGACATACCTACATAGCCGGAGTTAGCCTCGAGTACGTCCAAGGGTATTTGGGATCTGTTCCATGGTAGTTGGAAGTTCGCTTGAAACGCCCAATTTATGTTGATCATTTTGTTGCCCGTTGGGGTTCCTATGCCCGCGTTGAACTGGAATTTTAAATAATGAATATGCAAATTAAAAGCTTTTTGTATCAAAGGATTCAATGGTTCTTTGGCAATATCCGATTTTGCTTTAAGATAGCTAAAGCGTGTTGAGTTTGGCGCATGTAAAGTGTCAAATTCAATTAAATAAAATCACACTTTAATGTATATTGCACCAATGCACTAATATTTGATACTTGTGTTTTGTTATTGTTTTAAATTGAGATTAATTTTAGATCCGATGAATAGTATCATATTAAATTAAAATTTAAAATTTATTCTTAGAAAACTTTTAAAATAGCGCAAAAATAGAATAACGTAAAAAAGTGACTTATGAGTGAATTAATCACAACAATGTTTAAATACGTTACTTAAAATTGTTATTGCAATTAATGTGCTTGTTGTTGCAATTATCTTGCTTGATAGAAACAAGTTACATTATCAATGAAAATACATATTTTTTTCTGTGATACAAGTAATGGGACGCACAAAGGTCGTGCGCCTGGTGGTAAGCGACATGCCTGTCCAAAGCAGTTGTGTGTCGCTAAGAATTTTAAACCGCAAACATCTGAGGGGCACTGCCACTTCGCCCGTCACCTTGTGACTTAAGTTGACAAGTCTCATGTGACTGTAATTTACTTAGTATCATTTTCTTTCTAGTTATTATTATTTTCTAGATTCTGGAAACAAGTATCGAGTTTTCTCTAAACCTGCAATTCTGTGCTTATTTTTGTAATTACTACAGTCTTATTTATCAAAATAGTATACTGTTGTCTAGGAAAAAACCTCGGTTATGCATTTTTACATAATGTCGTCACAGTTCCTGTATTGTGTTACTTGTAATTAATGTACAAGAGATTGTATACAATGAATGTGTATTTGTATGGTATAACCCACAGGTGAGTCCTGAAACTACGTGGCCGAGTTTCGTTTGCTGAAGGATTGAACAGTTCTACCTGGCACCGATAGTTGAAAGGACGCATGCATCGAGTACATAACCAGAAATAGAGACGGAACGTCATTTAATTTGTTTGAAAACAATTCTGCCAAATCATTACTGTGACAACTGTGCTCCGACTGGCCAGCCCCAATTTGAAACAATTGACGGGTATCGTCAATTATTTCACTTGAAATCGACCAGTTTAACTTAAGCTTTGCTATAATGGACAAAATTGCAAAATTACATATTTAATTGCCGATGAAATGTAATTCCGTTTGTTTTGTAATTAGATGTTTTGCTGTTTTTCCCCCCACCACCGAATATAACAGCCCCCATTAGGGATATTATCTTTATTACAATAAATACAAAATATTTTTGGAATCCAAACAGACGGACACACAGGTTAGTTGTTAGCGCTGTACTATTTCAGTTTTCTAATTTTGTGATTTCAGCGCAAACGAAAATTTATATTTAAAAGTGATATAAGGCCCATTTCAACTAACGCCATCAGATATAATTACTTATACGTATTTGACCTTGTTTAAGCAGGTCTCAGTAAATGTGTTCATGTTTTTTTTTCCAATTATAGTTATTAGTATCCAAGGGAGGTTTAATTAATTTAAAAAGTGTTTACTATATTTATGGCTTCATTATTTCACAAAATCTGCGGATATTGTGGAGTGAAAGCTTAAAAGCAGTTGGGGTCCCGTCACAATGTGAAGGAGGAGTTTTGGCCGAAGGGTGTCACGTACCGACAATATAGAAAAGTTAGTTTGACCCAGCCGGGGATTGAATCCGCGACCTCAGAGATGGCCATACTATGAAAACCGATGTACAAGGCACTCGACCACGGAGGTCATCGAAATATCGACGGTATTTTGTAGAAAGGGCGAAAGCGCCATTTTGAAAAAACTTGGAATATTGTTTTGGGCTTTAACGACTGTTTTAAAATACTTACATTCTGTTTTAAAATTCAATTTTGTTTTTAATTAAGGTTAAGTTTTAAAACAGGAGGTAAATATACGAAAATAGTCGAGTTTCGCCCTTTCTATAAAACCTGAAATGTTTATATTTGAATTTCTATAGTAATACCTGAAATAAAGTTGAATTTGGAAACAATAGTTGTCTTCTACTTCTACGAAGAACACTATCTTCTATCGACTTATCACTGTTTACTACGTCACTATAAAATATTGTAAACAAAGTAATTAATATACTAATACGTTCGGGAATCATGTTTTTCAGACGACGCGCGAGTTTATAATACAATTGACGATGGCAAAATGGGTTTGGTTACGGATTCATTACATATGCCTATTGGGATTGCATTTCCATAACCGTGAAAATTGCTTTGAAAACTTGTCTTCTGAGTAACTAGTTTACAGAGCTGTTTTAGAGGTAAAGCGGGAAAAACTGTTTTGCTATATAAAATGGTTTAGAATGAAATAAAATATAGGATTTTGTCTAAAGAATGTGCTAATACACGGTAGGAAGTATTTCATCCAATCAAGATGACGCAATACTAAGTTGTATCTCATCTTCAAACCAAAATCCGCAACGGGCACATAGAGAAGAAGAAGAGTGATGCCACCTGCCACCAAGCAATGTAAGCATTGGACTTGTCAACTTATGTCACAGGGTGACTGGCAGTGTGCCACATGTAAAGCTCTAATTGGCGCTGGAACTGCTATGGACAGGCGTGTCGCCTAACACCAGGCGTATGACTTGTTCGTCCCGTCACTTGGTAGTGTAACCTAAGGGGTAGCTCAGGTCGCGTACCGAGAGGTACTTTACAAATATAAAATGGGATTAACTTCAAAATTAGATATTTATTGTATTTTTTCACAAATTCACTTCTGGAGGCTACATCTAGATCTGCCAAGGTGTTCTTCTTTTTCTATTCTATTTTTTTAAACACATTCTAAATACAAAACTATATTCACTCAGCCAGTAGTTCTACTCATAGAGTAGAGCCTAGACTAGAGTAGTATAAAAATCTGTATATCGGTTGGAAGAGCGGTAGCTCCGGTTAGGTATGCAGACATTGGTTCGAGTCCAGTCTGATCCAAGGAAGTTTCTGTCTGTTTGTTCAGTCTTTATCAATAATAATAACAAACTAGCGCAGTATTTTCACAAAAACATAGGTAAAGCTTACAATTAATTAGTAGTTTATGTAAAAATAAAAATTTATAAAAACTTATAATAATTTTGTAGCAGTAGAGCTTCTTGTGAAAGCACATGGGACTTGTGAACTTATATCACGGGGTGACGGGCGCAGTGGCAGTGCCCCTCAGATCTTTGCGAACTAAAGCTCTGAGTGGCACTGCAACTGTTATGGACAGGCGTGTAGTTTACTGTCAGGTGCATGACTTATTCGTCGCATCACTTGATATATAAAAAAAGTACTGACTGGGTCGCCATCTCATATTATTAGGATGGACGTAGGTGATAGAGTGAAATGCATTTGTTTAAAGCGATATGGTTAAAGCATGAAACACACTAACAGCGGGTGTAGGTCGGGCGCGTGTCGGGTCGGGAGCACGGCGGGTGTGTATTAATATGGACGACAACAGGCCTTCAACAGAACAGACACTTTATTGATTCGGTCTCCAGAACATAAGTGTTAAAACTATACAATTTAAAATCAAACGTAAACATAATTGCTAACAAATCAATACGCATCACATGTTGCAGTCAGACTACGAGTACAAATGGACGTAGTTAAACAAAAAGTATCCAATCGACATCCACTCACTTTCGAGATATGGCAGTTTGAAGTTTAAAAATATTTCTCACTCTTGTTTTATTTTCAAAACTTATAATGTCATGTAACTCAAGAGATATTTATTTATGTTTATATGTTGGATTTTTTGGCTGATCTAAGACGTTAGACTTTAGGAACCGTTTGGTACATGTAACTCATTTTTTGATAATTTTGTGGATTGGATCCTTTTTGCTTAACTACGTCCAAATGTAGGCTATCGATACTACAATTAGTAAATATTGGTTAATAGACTTTCCTGCACAAACTCAAGCAGAAATGTATTTTGTAGTAGGATAGAAAGGATGCCCGTGATATACTAAGTTAAATTTAAAAATCATATGTCGGTAGAAACATCATTACAATCTGCGGTGACCCGTGTAGAAGTCCTTGAATCGACTCAGGAAGTTCAGGGATGCTATTTTTTGTGGGGAAATCCTCCAAGGCCGGACTTCTACCTGCTAAAACCCCACGGTGACCTCCTCGAGTGCTCTAGTGGGTGGGATCCGGGAACAACTTTGCGTACAGGAACCTCCAGTACCTAGGAGGAGCTGCGTCCTCCCCCTCCCCTCCTCACGACGGCTGGGCGGAATCCTGGTCCCTCCCACAGTGGTGGCACTGCGTCGTCGACTCGCGTCCGATCCGGTTTAGATACTCATCGAAGTATCCGTGTCCGGTGATTTTATGTGTCAGCCGGAACGTGGTGACGCACTTCCGCTGGCTCAATCTGACTTCCAGATTGCTCTTGCGCTACTTTTCGAACACCTGTCGGCGCTCCTGTCACCGCACTTCGGGCAGCGCATCTTCCTCCGCCAGGATGTCCAGCGGGGAAGACCGCGCCAGGCCGATCCTAATGGCCATACGGCGCTGCAGAGCCTCAATGGTGTGCAGCGCCGCATGGCCATTAAACGCCCGTCATTGGATGTGACCAGACGGGCGCTCTATACAGGGCCACGAATCGCACCACTCCACCGTATTTGCGGCGAACTCCATCGGAAGGTCCCCTCACATTGGGCAGCAACCGATGCAACGCGCCCGCCACTGTATCGATCCGGGGAACCAGGCGCCGGAAGTGCTCCTCCAAGTCCCAGCGGCCGTCCAGGATGAAGCCCAAGCACTTTAAGTACCTACTTCCCTTACAGGGTTCAGGGATGCTAGTCCTACCCGATGTGACTACGGTGCCCCAACATAGTTCAGGCAGCACTTGTTGGTTGTCCCCCTTATGGCAAAATACTATTCAAAGTCAATATAGTTCTAAAGTAAAAGAAACATCGACACGATAAAAAGAAGGAGAAGAAACTTAAAGATAATATAATTATAGCTTTTTGTAGGTACCTCTAAAATAACCATAGCAACCGTCGCAAATGAGTGCCTTTCAAATACGAAATAACACCTTCTCGAACATCACGACAATCTATTGGATTACGTAGTTAGAAGTTTGTTCATCGTGATGGACTGGTAAAGAAAATTCGTGAGTTAAATACAGGATGTTCCTTAATCAACTTAAAAGCAACGACCCTGGTATTTACAGAGCAATTAACAAAGGCACTAATTGAATAAGAACTGTTTTAACAGTGACTATAAGTGTTACGATGCTTGTTAGTTTAAATTTCAGATACTCAGTCCTACGTCTGTTGCACTGCATATATGATGAGAGATAACAAATTATTTTAGAAAAAGTATCATTCTGTATATAAAAGTCAATGGGATTTGTACAATAAAGATTGTACAATAGTTCGGTATTTTTTGAACGGAGAACATGTTTTAATGTGTGAGTTGAAGAAAATCTGTAGTAATAGAAATGTAAGTATTTTTTTATTTTAATTGTCGACACTACCTCGAATTCAAACTTTTCCCTTACTAATACGGTTCATTTTGTTTGACGTAATTAAAGACATATGAAAAATATAGGTATATCGTACAGAATATGTGTTCTATTTAGTTCAGTTCATAAAAAAAACATTGGTATATGTACCTATTGAATACAGCGGTTCTTGTAAATGTTCTCGGTAAATTTGTGTCTTTTTTTTGTCGTGAAAATTTGTAGGAATCGTGTCTTCACACCATATAGTAATCAGTGTTTATCCTCAATTTCACTATATACATATTTGTTTCAAAGCGATTGATTCAACACTTTCACTGTTATGCGTAATCACCATAACCCAAAGCCATTGAGGAATACAAGAATACAAGAATACAAGATATTTATTCGCTGAAAAATGTAGTTTACAATGGTGTTATAGTATATTATTATTAGATAGTACATTTCACCAAAACTTGGCATGCGAATATTTTACACAATTCTTATTTCAATCACGCACAGTGGTTCAATTTTACAGTTTATGTTATCTATTAAAAAATCATTTATATTGTAGTAGCATTGTGAAACTAACAAATTATGTAATTTTATTTTAAATTGCCTACAATTTAGTTCTTTAACTGCATCTGGTATTTTATTAAATAAGGTTGTATAGACTGTTAATAACAACCTCACAACACTATATTATTAACATCATAAACAACAACTTTTGTTCCATGACTTTTTACAAAACATACAATAGTTATTTGTTATGCAAGGCTGCAAAGTTGTTCTTTGTCGCGTGTGCTTGTATTGAAACCAGAGCAAGCGAAGGGAGCTAAGACTGAACCACGAGCAAACCGAGTGGTTCAAATATAGATTCCTGAGCGTAGCGAGGGTTTCAAGACACGAGACGCAAAACAACTTTGCTGCCGAGCGAAACACACAACTTTTCACGTCACTATAGCGAGGGAAATGGTAGATGAAAGAAAAACAGTTGAATTATAAAACCTTTTTTAATACAGTTGCTCAAAACATGGTATTTTTCGTACAACAAATCGTGTCGAAAGTTGGATTTTTCGCACTAGTGCGTTTTGCTTTTCCATTTTTTTTTAAATTTACTGTTGTTTCAAGTCTTAAACATAGAAATAAAGAGGTTGTATATTTATTTAATATTTATGTGCTTTGTGACGTAAGTCATTCGTCATTAAAACTTATATTTATTTACAAATACTATATAATGAACATATCGAGTGGAGGTCCACAGTCTCTGCCTACCCCTGAATGGGTGACAGGCGAGATTTTTATGTATATATTTGTTCTATGTATTACAGATAAATTGTATCTCACTACTGTGCACGGGTTCCTAAAGAAGTTTAAACAAAAGTACCAGGACGTCATAATAAGAAAAGTGGTTACAGACCGATATTACAGAAAATAAACAAAAACAGCACGTTAGAACTAGATTTCCATAGACTTTTAACTAATGGTTGCAGTGGTTGTATTTCATTATTTTAATTTACTAGCAGAAAATGAGTTTTGTTTAAATATTGTTTTATTTTACTTTCAATGTAGTTCTTTCGCAAATGTATTAAAAAACGTCGTTTGATACACGTGCGGATTTGTCATTTTCACTTGTCTCGCGTCTTGACCCTCGCCTCTGGCTCGGGCCAAGAAGCCTCGAGACTCGTGAATAATGACTAAGTTTCCGCACTTATATCAAAAATAACTATTGTTGTACTATCTGACACTTTTTAAATTTGTATATGGTAGTAAGTTCAAACGTACAAGCGTCCCGTTCGACTACCCTCAACCCCGCTCCTGCGTTTTACATCGGACTGATAGTTTTGAGCACATTCTTTTGTTACCGCGCAAAAGTTGTTATTTACGATGTTAGTAATAAAGTCCTGCGAGGTTGTTCGCATTTTACAAGTAACCCTGAATACAGGTGTAATAAAAATGTGCTACGATACTCAATTATCATATAGTTATAATTACAGATTTTAGTGATAAGTTTATATATTAAGTTTATATCACTTTTAAATATCAACTCTCGTTTGCGCTGAAATCATAAATTAGAAAGCTGAAAATAGCGCAGCGCCAACAATTGACCTGTGTGTACGTTTCCGTATATTCCAAAAATATTCTATATTTATTGTAATAAAGATAATAAAAAACAATATATATACATATTGTTGTATGTATGTATGTATGTATGTATGACTGAGACTAAACGCGCTAGTGCCATTACTTTTGCCAACAAAATTCCGGATTCGATTATGAACATCAAAATAGCCGAAATAAATATAAATAAAGTAAAATTATTTCGCTATGCCGGAAATTAAATATGGAAACCTGTTACACTCATGTTACACTGTACCCATAGTGTGTGCAATCGCACAAACGTAACTTGAATAACAATCAATCCTATTTATCGAATTCTTAGGATTTTGCGATTATTACACATTGAAAATGTAACTGTGTTATTTCGGATCTAAATCAAGAATATTTTTTTTTTTCAAACAAACCAACTTTACGGGCTCTTTACAAGCTGCATGATGTTATCAAATAGTTACATATTAGATACATACATAGATCTACAACAAACATCAATTAGTCAAGGCTAATAATATTGCAAACCACGCTATTCTGAATGTAATAAAATTCAGAATTATGCTTTAAGTTGAGGCCAGACCAACGTCATTTTGTGAGTTGTGAGTTGCGTTTTTTGAGTCTGCGTAGTTTACAGATTTCAATGCTTTCGTAGTTATTCACTAAATGATTATCACTACAATACCGGCACACTATGATGGCCGTTTTGACAGATTACAATAGTGAGGTCAAATCTCTATTCATTGTCGAAAAAATATATTATAATCAAATGCGAGTCGCATCTATAAATTTTTAGATTTATGACTAGTATTGCAAGGGGTAGCTGATTAAAAAGTTTTAATAAAACGAAAATAAAAATGTTTCCTTTATACGTATGTCGTCAATTCGAAACGAAAACTTTGTTTTGCATTGAGCTTTGACGCGAGTTTTCCGGATGTAGAAGTTATGCTGGACAGCGATGCTATAAGTGACGATCGTATTAGATTTAATTTTTAACAATTATGAATTTCGATAAACAAATGCCGAGTTGTGTCCTGAAATTACAAGTTTCATAAATTTTACTGCACGTCACTGTTGACAACAATGTACATCTATTAGCAGTTATGTAGTCCTTTAACATAGTAATGAATTAATACAAAACTTGATGAGAGGACAAACGTCAAAACGGTCATCATAATGTGCTGGTACCATAATTACAGGTTTCATACTATACCCGTAACCATAGAATAAGAAGCCATGTTGTCGTAAGACACTTGTAATTGTAATAATCTCATAGTTTAATTTCGTATTTTGTTCGGTTGCTTTTAAGCGTTTGTCTGAATATTTGTGTCCAAATAGTGTAATGGATCCATTAACATTTGTGAAGCATTTCATGATATTAGAAAAAAAAATGAAGCTGGCTACATCCACTCAATACGAAAATTTGAAAGTGGTCACCTTCATAGTTTAAATTTAAAGTACTACCACATGTTAATAAATGTTACCCTTTCGCCTCTCTCTAATTTTTGCGCCCCTGAATCGGCAAACAACTTATTGTGTCGTGTGGCACAAAACGAATTTTAATATAAAACTGTATGCAGCGTAAATTAAGCGACTCAAAAAACACGACTCACAACTCAAAAGATTACGCTCGTCTGGCCTCACCCTAATAGGTGTGTATGTTTTTACAGGTCTCTTGAATTATTTAAAGTAATTTGTTTACTTTGGATTGTAATATGCAATGCAGTGAAATCAGAAGACAAAAACTGTGTAGAAGAGGACCATAGAAGCAAACGTCAATTGAACGGGTTGCCATTGGTGTACCCTTATGGAGGACTTTATAAGGTAAACCCCTTCTAAATATCACAACAATTAACAATTAATATCACAAAAAACAATCAATTTGCTTCGTTAATGTTTCAAATGTAAGATAATTAGGGCCATTGATACAATAACCCGTCATGCTCTAAAGATTTTGGTAAATATAATTAAATGTTTTTATATATATTTTTATAACCTTTTATAAATATTTATAGATATTCATAATTTTTTGTAAATTATGAAAATGTTTATAATTTTTCTTATAATATTACATTTTTTTAAATGGTGGACGATAACAGCTGTGAGACACGGTGTAAAAATGCGTTAACAGACGGTATAAAAAATTATGTTGTGGCTTTATTCAACGAAGGGTTGGAATTAAATAGCAATTATTCATCATAAGGCGTTGTAAGGACGACAATGTGGTAGAGACTGGATGAAAACAGCTGGAGACCGCCAGGAACGTGTAAAAGGGCTTTCTAGATTGGACAAATTGGAAAATCACGAAAAAAAAATGGTTATTTAATTTATTTCTCTTTTTCTTAGCTCATTCTGGGCATTGGAGTGCCAATAAAATCGGAACCATACATAAACCTGGCATTCGCAGCTAACTTCCAATACCAATATACGCAATTCCAAAACATAAGTCAGCTCTCGCAGTACTATTTCATCAAGGAGGTCTCTAGAGAAGAAAGAGAAGCGGAGTCGAGAAGTCGTAAGAATGAAAGATTGACCTTTTATAAGGCTATGATCGGTTTGTTGGAAATGTAAGATGTATTTTATTAGCTGTTAAACTCTTTATGAACAAACTCGTCCAGGGAAGTACTGAGGGACACAGCCACATAAGTTGACAAGTCTCGTGTGCCTTAATGTCACCAGCATCTTTAACCTTTCAAAATCGAAACACATTACTGCTTGGCGGCAGAAATAGGTAAGGTGGCAGTACTTTCCTGGACGAACTCTTTCAAAAAAGATCTCAGATCCGGAAGGCTGATCTGTTTGCCGACAATTAAAATAAATAATTGAACTCTACTGCTGCTAAGACGAACCCTTTCACAAGTTACTCTACAGCTACTTCGAAATTGTTAATGCAATCATTGTGCGTTTTGTTGCAATTGTTGTGCTTGAAAGGCTCAGATTGAAACAAGTTACATAATAACATTGACTTACAATTATATGGACGTCGGGTCCGCGCTAAAAAGTGTCCGAACTTATAGGGCGTTACAATCGTATACAGAGCGTCATTCACGCTTTAGTCTTCGTTTGTTTCTTCTGACAGCGAAGCAAGCAAAATTAGACAGTACTGCGATGACATTACAATTTAAATTCAACGTTTTAGCTTTTTCATATCCCTTTACATGTCACTACGTTTAAATAGGTTGACTTGGGACATTTTTTTCGTGGTTTTTGTATTAGACCCGTCGTCCATTTATTTGTAAGTCAATGCATAATAAAGTTAAAAAACGGCTTCTTTAAATCAATCACAATTTTTTCATTGCAGTGTATACATGCGTAATTTATAATAATTTCAGTAACGGTATGAATGGTCACGACTGCGTGTTGAGAGCTATTTGTGAAGCTGCGCAATATCCAGTCGAAGAGGAGGGACTCTTTGGTGAAATAATCCATATTTTGTTAACGTGAGTAATTATTCTATTTCTATTTTTGCACTGGACTGATTGAGGTTGCTTTAATTGCTTGGCCTATTTTGAATTTCGTCAATACCTCAGATGGTCTATATTTATTTCTCTCGTGAATTTATAGTTGTCTATGTGATTACGATGTTCTTACTATTATGTTCGTTTTCTTTTAATTTTATTATACAAAGAGATTACAAATTAGCTCAAGAACTAAAGGGATGTAAGATAAACCCTATTGGGTTTTTGCATGGGTTTTACAGCCCATCGCCTTATTGTTTCACAAGTCTTAAATAAAATATAATATTTGCTATGTTTATTGGGTGTTATTTTTCTACTATATGTTTTTTATCATAAAATTAATACGTTAACTCTGTAAACGTGTTAATTTATAATAGTCAGATATATTTTGTTAATGTCATAGGTAGATTAATAAAATTAATTCAAAGATTTTATATAATTTTTATTTCAATTGAATGTTGTTTAAGTTTATACTTTATGTCTGTTCTCGTGAGATATTTTTTAGTGTATTGGTAAGTCATTTATAAGGTTGAGAATACAATAGCTATCTGTTCTTAGTTATACACTTGATGATCTTAGCAATCGATTTTCCGCGGGTTTGATTATCATGGGAGTATGTTTTTTATAGGTATGTACGTCGGTGTTAAAAAATTGTTCGACCTGTATTGTCATAGGTACAACTTTGCAGTGTTTAAATAATGGCTCTGTACCTTTGAAATTAGGTTGAAATTTTGAAGGTACTATTTTTTGACGAATCAAAATTGCAGTTTTGTTTATAACAACAAGTGACGGAAAGGACAAGTCGTGCGCCTGATGATAAACTACTTGCTTGTCCATTACAGTTACAGTGCCACTCAGAGCTTTAAATCGCAAAGATCTGAGGGCAGTACCACAGCGCCCGTCACCCTGAGACATAACTTGACAAGTCGCATGTGCCTGTAATTTCACCAGAACCCTTACCCTTTAAACCCGGAACACAGTAATGCTGACATTACTGCTTGGCGGCAGAAATAGGTAAGGTGGCAGTACCACCCTGGACGAACTCTTCACGAGGGCTACATAATTACGCTACTATAGAGCTACTAAAAGTGCATTATTAGTTCATAAATTCTATCTTAGCGAGAGTATTCTATCTTAAATGTTCTACCATAAGTGCTCAATCCGTATCCAATGATTGATTCACGTAAGGACTTATATATTAAAACTGCTATTAAAATTTTAACATTTCTAAAATAATTACGAATTGCGAACAGCTTTGCAGTTAAACAGTGAAATAACTTTAAAAAAAGCCTGTATATATATTATATATATTAAGTTAATATTATTTAGGTGTCATTATAATCTGTCAACCGTTTGTTTAACTTTTGACATATTCACGCCTCCGAAGTTCCGTAATTATAGACATACAACTATAGACAAAAAAAGTAATACTTCCTGGACTCTTTTGTTTTTTAATTTTAGTGAAGGGACGTGCTCTTTAGCTCCGATATTTATCGAGCCAAGGGATTACGTAGCGAAGATTATTCAAGTTGACAAATTTTGGTACCTGTCTAATAAATTATAACGAAATTAAATAAATTATAAATAATTATAATAAATTAATTAAATTTTTATTCAATTATTTTTTGTGAAATTACTCCACTAGTTTGTTATAATTATTAATACAAAGATCGAACACTCAGAAAAAATTCCTTCGATCCGGTCGGATTCGAACCGACGTCTTCTTGCATACCGTGCCAGACGCTATACCAACTAAGCCACGGAACGAACCAACGGACCTCACGAATTTTTCTATGTGCTTGAGTCGTGTCTTTGTATTTGGTCTTTCAACGACTTTTTAGTCGTAGCGCCATCTACGACCGGATCGAAGGAATTTTTTCTGAGTGTTTTTCTGAGTATTCGATCTTTGTATTAATAATTATAACAATTATAATAAATTCTTATTGTTTATTATAATGAATCGTCAGATTCTTCTCCATATGAACGGGAATCATCATTTGAATACTTATTAACATGAGTCCGGTGCGATGCACGCTCAGATTCGGACGTGCTCACACAGTAAGAATTATATTAATTCGCGATCCGCGCGGTAATGACCGCTACGCGTAATTGACTATGGGTTCCCAACAACTCATAGCCAATGAACTGCTGGCGTTCATACAACACGCCATCGACACTATGGACGAGGTCAGCATCATGCAGATCTGCAAATCAAACTTTAAAGAAGATGAGATTTGCAGTGGCAAGGCGCTGCTTTTCCGTGTGCTTGGCAAGGCCGAGCAGATGCCATCTCGCCGGAGGGATGGAGGAACGAAGAGCATCCAGGACATTATAACGATGTTAAAGGAAACCGACCCAGACGACGTGCCTGCTTTCGTGGCAAAGGAGCTGCACAAGCTGCCCCCTGTCACGTTCGACCATGTCGATGTCACTAGGCTGCTTAAGGACATCACATCCCTGAAAGCAAGTCTGGCCGAAGTTCAATGTAAATTGGAGGCTTCGGATAACACCATCTGTGAGTTACGTGCCCAAGTTGTATTACTGAGTAGTGCAACTTCGGTAAGTAGGTCACCCGAGGCCTGTAACGTGAATACTCGTCGCGGGGCACATAATGCATCTATCGGCAGTTTTGAGTCGGCCCATACGGATGCGTCACCGACCGCTGTCGCTGAGCGCGATTCCCCGCGCCCCGCCCCTCGATTGTCCGCTCCGGCGGAGACGTCACGCGTAAACACGTTGACCCCTCCACGTGATTACGCCGCTGTCGCAGCTGTTAACCGACCCGTTGCTCCACAACCACAAGCCAGGCAGCTATCAACGAAGGGGATGAAAAAACCTCGTGTACCTGTCTCTGAAGTTGCAAAACCACAGAGGCAGACGGACCGGTGCGACGATGACGGCTTCACAAAGGTGGAGAAGAAGAAGAGGAAGCCCACCAGCCGTAACCTGTGCGGCACTGCACCGACAGGGTCCAACTTTTTGCTGCGTCCGGCAATCCCGACAACGCTGCTGTACCTGTCACGCCTGCATTACTCCACGAAGTCTGAGGAGATAGTGGAGTACATCAGGTTGAAATCCAAATACACCCTGAGGGTCGAGCGGTTGGAGTCTCGCCACTACGTGAACTTTAATTCGTTTGTGGTGAGAGTGCCGACCGAACATCTGTCGACCTTCATGAAGGAGGAGTTCTGGCCGAAGGGTGTCCTATACCGGCGATTCCGTGGCCGGTTGCCTGACACCAGATGGCGCCACACGTCGCCGACAACCTAAATACGTGTTAAATTAGTAATTAGTGTTATTTTATATTGTTATGTATGTTAGTCTGTAAGGTATGTATCTATGGGTCTCAGTAACCTGAATATAAATAAAGAAATAAAATAAAAAAATATTAATTATTAATTCTTGAGTTCGCAAATTGTCAAACGCAACATCACGATTCCTATCAGATAATATCTTCTTTTAGAAACCCGCTCACATTCACGATTAAAAGTTCTTCATAAATAAAATCGATTGTTATAAAAAATCGAATCGGAAACTCATTACGACATCACTAATTGATTAGAATTAGAAAAGAGAAATAAACGATTGGACGGAGTATAGTTGGTGGTATTAATTATTAAGTATATTAAGTGTTTTACTTGCAGTCCGGACTACGGCCGGTCATTATTTGAAGAAGACCTATACGAGGAAAATGCTATGGCTGAATACAATGACGCTGCGACGGCCGGGAGACAGATGTTCCACTGTCCATCTATTTACGAAGGTTGTCCTGAAGGGCAAGGGTTCTTTGAACTGATAACTAAACTTGTCGATGAGGCGTATTAAAGAAAAAGAAGTGAAGCTGAGTCCACAGAGGAGAAGCGGGAAAAGCTGTTTTCCTCAACCATTGACTTACAAATAAATGGACGACGGGTCTAATACAAAAACCACGAAAAAAATGTCCCAAGTCAACCTATTCGAAATTTAAATTGTAATGTCATCGCAGTATCGCGCTGTCAGTAGAACAAATGAAGACTAAAGCGGAGTTTGGCGCTTTGTATACGATTTTAGCGCCTTACAAGTGCGGACACTTTTTAGCGCGGACCCGACGTCCACATAATTGTAAGTCAATGTGCTTAACCAAATGATTTAGGTATTTACTACTAAATAACGCTCTTGCAAAAAATAAAATATACACCTAAGGATATTGTCTAAAGAAGTGTTTAGAAGTAATTATCTCTTGTTTCATCATTTGAATACTTATTAACATTAATTATTAATTCTTGAGTTCACAAATTGTCAAACGCAACATCACGATTCCTATCAGATAATATCTTTTTTTAGAAACCCGCTCACATTCACGATTAAAACTTCTTCATAAATAAAATCGATTGTTTTTAAAAATCGAATCGGAGTCTCATTACGACATCACTAATTGATTAGAATTAGAAAAGAGAAATGTCAAGTGACGTGAATAAGTCGTGCGCCTGATGGTCAGTTACACGCCTGTCTATAATAGTTACAGTGCCACGCAGAGCTTTAAATCGCAAAGATCTGAGGGGCACTGTCCCTGCGCCTGACACCCAGAGACATAAGTTGACAAGTGTGTGTGTAATGTGCCTGTAATTTCACCAACACCTTTACTCACACAATGAAATCTAAAAAACTGAATTTATCTCCTAATTTGCCATCCTTAGAGGTGTAATATTTTTTTCAAATTTGAATAGGACTACTAATGAGGTAGCCCCTTTCCAACGAAAATAGAATCTTCACAATCGATTATATATATAACTCAAAAATGCATTTTCTGAGAATCGATGAAAAACTAATTACCAGTGAATTAAAATTGATGTATGGGTTATATTTTATTATTGACATCTAAACAATTACCGACTTGCAAATACATTTTAGAATAAAATTTAGAGATAAGTAGATATATTTTAATTGTTTCTTACAACATTCTAACGACGGTTTTATTGACGTGTATAGAATCAAATTTTACGTTTAGTAATGATAGAATCTTGAAATTCACGTATTTTGAGTTACAACACTTTTGCAATAGCAGTGCGAAATATCAGAGTAAGCGCGTAACATACACACACAAAAATACAATCAAATTGAGAACCTTCTCCTTTTTGAAGTTAGTTAAAAATGAAATACATTCCTATAATACAAACTGTCAGTTATTTTTCAAAAAATATTTTATATAAATTAATAAATAAATGAAACGTCTTGTAAAAACAATAGAAAAAGTGATTAATTTAGTAATCGATTTGTAGTTTTATTAAACGAAACTGCCTCCGTGGCCGAACGGTTACCACGCCGGACTGCCACGCAGAGGTCCCAGGTTCGATTCCCGGGCCGGTAGAAATATTTGTACGGCCTACATTTATTTCTCTCGTGAGTTTGGGTGTAATTTGTAGTTGTCTACATATGTGTGTGTCTCCATGGCACCCGCGATACGGGGTTTCCCTAGTGCGGTAGCTGGTGGTAACTGACACGCCTGTCGGTTACCACCAGCTCAGAGCATCAGAACTTTAAATCGCAAAGATCTTAGGGGTACTGCCACTGCGCCCCTCACCCTCAGTCATAAGTTGACAAGTTAATGTAATTTCACTAACACCCTTGCCCTTCCAAACTGGACAGCAGTAATGCTCAGATTATTGCTTGGCGGCGGAAATAGGTAAGGTGTTATTACTACATTGGACGAACTCTGTCACAAGATGCGCTACTGCCTACTGCCATTAAAACGGTATTGCAGACGAAAAAAATTGTAAACAAAAAGTGTTTAATACCTGTAGTAATGTCGAATTCGGGAACAACAATTGTCTTCTACTTCTGTTATGTATAAAACTTTTCTTTTGACTGTCACTTAATGCAATTGCACTTATCGAAAGTATATGTAATATTTTTGTAATTGAAAACATAATTTTCTGGTGCTTTATTATTAATTTCTTTTAATGCTGGATGCTGTGCTTCCGTTTTAAGAATGAACGTGGACCCGGATCTAAAAGTCACCTTACGTGTTTGTGAAACGTATTCAATTTGACCATAGATATTGATGGAAACAGGAAACAAGTTGAAACTAGTGTTGCAAAGAATAGCGTATTTCGAATATTCGGCATGATTAACTAAAATTTGTTTTGCTTTGTAAATAAAAAGGATTGGTTGATTTTGTTAGCATTTATTTAGTCAGAAGCAACTGCATAATATGTTGATAATTTTTATTTGATATAATTATGTTACATTTTTTTGAATAAGTAAGTGGGTAAATCACTTGTATTATTGTTAAATATAATTATGAAAATCGGAAACAACGACGGTACCACAAACACTCAGACCGGAGACAATATAGAAAAGTTAGTTTTTCTACACTGACCCGGCCGGGAGCCAAACCACCTCAGAGATGGTAACGTCATGAAAACCGGCGTGCAAGCTCCTACAGCTCGTTGTCTATCGATCTTCCTTTTTTAAGATAAAAAAAAACGGAAAATTGTGTTTTCGCGGACGTTGATGTACGTTCAGCATTAATAAAACTTACACAAAAATTTACTCTTTTTTCTTATACCTTTCTCCTGTTTTTAGGTCTTTCGTATTCGACCGAATAGCAAAAACACAGTCTGTTTAGCAAAAGCGAATCAAATAACCAAACTAAGCGAATATTCGTACGTTTCTAGTTAATTCATGTCAAATCATTTTAAATTAAACTATTTTTTCCGGGTTTGAAATCTCAAACATTTGTTCAAACTACGACTTGGGTTGTATACAGGTCCCATGGATCTCTCCCATGAATATATTATTTATTTTCTATTTTATAAAAACTTTTTAGGAAAATTCACGAAAATTCTAACTGTACAATTATAGTTTTACTAGATATAAGTAATCAAATGCCATTGACGAATTTCCACCTTAAGCAAGCAATACAAAGTGCTTACAAAAATGAAGAAAAAAATTTATAAAAAACACAATAATTGGAGTTTTCTAAATATGTATAATCTCGGAGTCGGAACAAATACGAATTGGATGCAGTATACTAAGCATTAAACGCGCTTAAAGTGTATCATTGCCCGTGATTGCACGTTATGCGTCAAAGTGACATTTGGTCATTTCCCGCCTGACAGTGTCTATTTTTGTACAGAACAAATCAAAATCAGAGTGCTTTTGTAAAGTATTACTAAAAGGTGTAATGGCGCTGCTGGTGCTGGTGGCGTTCTGTAGACTGCAAAATAGCCTGGATAGCAGTAATATAGCCAGGTCCAAGGGTAGTAATAGCCTCCGCAGCCCCGCAGCCTCCATACGTCTTACTTAGCAAGTTTTAGCAGTTGAAAAGACGGAAGTCCGGTTTATAGGAATTTATTAAGTACAGCAACAATATTAATATCTTAAAATGTAAACGGTTCAAAAATAAGAAAGTAGATGTTTTCGCTACCGCGATCGCGGAGATAGTCACCGTGGTACGAAGCAAAATGAGAAAGCCATTGACTTACAAATAAATGGACGACGGGTCTAATACAAAAACCACGAAAGAAATGTCCCAAGTCAACCTATTTAAACGTAGTGACATGTAAAGGAATATGAAAAAGCAAAAAGGTTGAATTTAAATTGTAATGTCATCGCAGTACTGTCTAATTTTGCTTGCTTCGCTGTCAGTCGAACAAACGAAGACTAAAGCGTGAATGTCGCTCTGTATACGATTTTAACGCCCTATAAGTTCGGACACTTTTTAGCGCGGAACCGACGTCCATATAATTGTAAGTCAATGGAGAAAGCGAAAAAAAGATGGGAAAAAAGATGAAGCAAAAGAAAAAATGATACGATACAAAAAGGTTAGATGACGGTATAAGGAGGTCACATCGTCGCGCTGGATAGCAGTAATATAGCCTGGTCCAAAGGTAGTAATAGCCTCCGCAGCCTCCGCAGCCTCCATACGTCTTACTTAGTAAGTTTAGCAATTCAAACGTTGAAAGTCCAGTTTATAGGTATTTATTGGGTTTTAGCAAATATATTATAATCTTTAAAATGTAAACTGTATAAAATTAGCTAATAAACGATTCAAAAAGATAAGTAGAGATACGTTCGCTACCGCGGTCAAGCAGAGAGTGGCGATGGAAAGAAACAAAATCAGAATGCGGAACATTTTAAATTTAAATATGAGTAGAAGAAGGAAAAACGATACGATACAAATGGAGAGAGGCGATACAAAAGGTGGGATGACGGTGTAAGGAGGTCACACCGTCACAAAGGTGTCAATGCATGCACCAGGTCGTGTAACAAGTTAGTTCGAAGCATTCTAAGTAACAACAATATAATATAAGTATGTCTTATTATAATTATGTTAACTATAGTATGTAATTTCCCACCTGTTCGACACGGAAATGCTTATACTTCGCTCGTATCGTATGGTTGTTGCATTATTATTTCTGTTATATTGAAAAGTTGTAAAAATAATTTTTAAAAATTAAGATCTTCATCATAGTATTTTCGTGCTACATTGAATTAACGTTTGTTGAATGCAGGTACAGTTACGTCTTGATTTTTTTTGTAATATCAAGTGACGTGAGTAAGTCGTGCGCCAATGGTCAGTTACACGCCTGTCTATAATAGTTGCAGTGCCACTCAAAGCTTTAAATCGTAAAGATCTGAGGGGCACTGCCACTGCGCCCATCACCCTGAGACATAAATTGACAATCCCCATGTGCCTATAATTCCGCCAGGAATGCGGATTAGTATTATCATTGTGGAGTATGATTATGAGAAAGAAATGAAATTATGAACAAATTTTAAATTCGAAGCACTTTGGACAATATGTGCGTCCGTAGAAACGTAATGTGCGAAAGTTTTTCTAAAAGTTTATTGAATTTCAGGAAGTAACACTCGACTTACTCCACTAGTTTGTTGTAATTATTAATTCAAAGATCGAATCCTTAGAAAAAATTCCTTCAATCCGGCTGGATTCGAGCCAACGTCTTCTAGCAAACCGTTGTCAGACGCTATACCAACTAAGCCACGAAATGAACCAGCTGACCAAATGATTTTATACTTGTAAACAAAGCGGACCGCATCAATTTTTCTATGTGTTTATTGTCGTGTCTTTGTATTTGGTTTGTCGACGTCTTTTTAGCCGTAGCGCCATCTATGAGAAATCTTAAGTATTTCGTCACCCAGTTAAATACCTTTACAGCTACCAGCCCTGGCTAAAGATGTCGCTATTCATTGTATTTAATTTTTTATTGAATTGATTTTCAATTATTTTTATGTGAAATTACTCCACTAGTTAGTTTTAATTATTTATACAAAGCATACTGAGCCTGACGCTATACCAACTAAGCTACGGAACGAACCAGCGGAACCAAATACAAAGATTTGGCTTTTTCAACGACTTTTTAGCCGTAGCGCCATCTATGAGAAATCTTAAATATTTCGTGAATGTTTTTGTGAAATTACACCACTAGTTTGTTATACCTATTAATACAAAGATCCAATATTTCTTTTAAAAACGAAACCAAGTTTAAACTCCCGACACTAAATGCAAATATTAGAAAACAAATTCATAGCAACTAATGTCTATCGCTGATACGTAATACGTCCATTGTCTGCAAGACAATTATTGTAGTACACTGACTTGTGACATGCTTATTGGATAAACAAATTAGACCTGACTGTCATGTGACAAGAGAATTACAGATGTAACGTGTCTTCTCACGTGCTCGTGTTAGGGCTAGGTGCTATTGGTTTATTTGTTTATCCTATACTGTCTCGTGGCTTTGAAAGATACAAACAAGAAATGTATTTTTTTGCTATTGCTGTACAATATAAATGAATCTTTTTTCGAATCTAAGTCGCGTATTTTTGTTTTTTCAAACCGACTCACGTTTCGGGCTGTTTTTTTTTTTGTTTAGGGACCACATCATTGCCTGGTCTCAAACAAGGGAATTCCTTTCTTCTTCTTATAGTATCCATGGCAAATACTATAATGCATACCATCGTGGTGAAAGGCTTTGGCAAACGGCGCAAGGTACTCGCTGATTGATGCCCAGGGAGCGTCAGACGCAAAGGAAAGAGTGGTGGGCCACTTCCCAGAACACCCAGACTAGAACCAATTTAGAAAAGTTAATTTCTCAATTTGGTTCTATGGGGAATCGAAACCAGGATCTCGTTATCCAGCGCCCATGGTACTGCCACCGTTAATTGAAAGTGCGCATGTGACAATAAAAAGAGGCCGATCTCCATGACGTAATGCACAAACGCTCTTAGGTATAAAGCATTTTTTTTACTTCGTCATTTACTAATTATTATATATTATTATGCCACAGTTCACCACTAGGGACTTCACTACGCGAGTCGTCTACTTTTGCTTTAAACGCCCACTCATAAGTAAACCGTCAACGATAAGTTTGCCCGTAGCGCCATAGTCTACAAAGTTGAGTTGTGTAACTATACAAACATAGCAGATCGGCTTGTGTAGGTGAGCACCATGTACGGACGCATAATCTCGCGCGGCACTCGCGTTGCTCAGCGCGGGTTGTCACGCTTTATTTGTAGAATTGGAGTGTTCGTTTACCAGGCAACAGACTACGCCACATTTCGCCGACAATTGCATTTCGTGTACATTGCATATTTAGTTTTTATATTACCTTAATGGTATAAAAACTTGGTAATAAAAGGTAGCCTAGGCGAGGCTATGAATTGACAAGTGTGTCGATGCATTATGGATTTTTTTTATAATTCCATGTGACGGGACAAACAAGTTGTGCGCCTGGTGGTCGCTTACCACCACACGCCTATCCATAACAGTTTCAGTGCCATTCAGAGCTTTAAATCGCAAATATCTTAGAGGCACTGCCGCAGCGCCCGTCACCCTGAGACATAAGTTGACAACTCCCATGTGCCTGTAATTTCACCAGGACCCTTACGCGTCAAAACCAGAACACAGTAATGCTGACATTACTGCTTGGCGGCAGAAATAGGTAAGGTGGCAGTACTTCCCTTGACGAACTCTTTCACAAGGATCTCTAATTGAAATATTAAATATTAAGTTGACGTAGTGTTAATTTGGAGGTATCGATTTATCAACTTATGTCTCAGGGTGACGGGCGCAGTGGCAGTGCCCCTCAGATCTTTGCGATTTAAAGCTCTGAGTGGCACTGTAATTGTTATGGACAGGCGTTTTGCTTACCATCAGGCGCACGACTTGTTCGTCCCGTCACTTGATATTATAAAAAAAAAAATCTCAGTACAGAGTACTAAAAAAACTGATCTCAAGAGTATGTGGAATTACATCTATTTGCCAAGTTATATTGAAATATCCCCTAGTTCGCCACTATACGGGACTTGACACAGGAGATAATAAAAATCGATTCTCACTACTCAAAGTATAATGAGAGAGAAAAACGCTTTGAATTGGAGAAGAGCAAAATTAGAGGTGAATGATTTTCTCCAAAATTAAATAAGACCACTAAAAAAAGAAACTTTCCATCAAAAAGAAACATACAGTCAAATGGAGAACCTCCTCCTTTTTTTGAAAACGGTTAAAAAAGTATACGTTACCGTATTCTCGTGCTGTATTGAAATAACCTGTGTTAAATGCGTTACGACGTAAGCATTACTGTATTTCGGTTATGAACGGTAAGGATGCTGGTGAAATTGCGGGCACATGGGACTTGTCAACTTATATCGCTGGATGTCGTGGATTGCTTGAGTGCCACTGCAATTGTTATGGACAGGTGTCTCGCTAACTACCAAGCGCATGAATTGTGGTCATTTTGTTTTTAATGTAAATAGCTTTTTTAGTTTTTTGTTTTCTTTTATTCACAAAATAGGCATTTCGAACTCTTGGCGACATCCCGAAGCATACTGCAGTTTTATTTTGCAGCCACGATCATTGTCATTGAATATGCAATTATAATGTCATAATCTTAAGGTATATTACTAATTGTCACCTAAATCCCTTCACGTTCCGTCCTTGCAGTGGGCGCCGGACACGAGCCTTGACGCACTGAACTGGCGGGAGTTGGACTACTCGTTTTATCATGCTATGGTAGTGCCGAAAGTATAAATTCACACGTAGGGAACCAACAGTACTTATACCAATGTTTTGATTTTTCTCGAAGTTTGCACACGTTCAGTGTGCTTCTAAATGGCCACAGTCATGTACAGACATACTAATGGTTGTGACAGTGTACACAAATTGTTAACATACGTTAAGAAGTATTACGTAATATCACTATACTGTGTAAATTTTTGTGCAGATGCTATGGAAATGTAAAAGATGTGAGTTATCATGAAACCTTATTGCAACAACAGGTAAGTCTATAATGTTTTATTTCTTAAGAGCAAAGGGAACAGATTCCTCGTCTACAATAAATTTTTTCAAAGTTGAGTTTGTGGACAACCTTACTGCCCTTCTTATAATAACTAACGTAATCGACATTTTTAGCGAAATTAAGTTATTAAAATATCTGGGTTCAGCGAAACAAGATCTACAACCACCTTTAATCGGTTTTTTAATAACTTATTTAGTTTTAGTTTTATTGTTAAGTGTGGATACTACCTTAGCTCGTATTGAAATTTTTCCTGTACTAATACGGTTCGTTTTTTTTTACAAACGTAATTAAAGTCATTATTTAGTTCAGTTGATGTTGAAAAAAATCATTGGTATATGTAAAACACCTATTCAATACCGATTTTTTTTTAATTTCAAGGTGGGTTTTTTTTTTTTTATATCGTGAAATTAATTTTGGTAATCGTGTTTTCATATTGTATGGTGATCAGTGTACATCCTCAACTTTACTCTATATGTTATTCCAAAGGAATTGATTTAACAATTTCACTGTTATGCGTAATCAACCAAAGCCTTTTGAGGTTGTAGCGACTCATAAACAACAACCTTTGTTCCATTACTGTTTACAAAAGGTAATCTTTTATGTATTTGTTGTCCTATCTGCCACTTTTTAAACTACTTCAAAAAAGAGGAATTTCTAATTCAACTGTATTTTTTGTGTGTCTATGACACAATTACTCCAACTTTTGTGAAGCGATTGTTTTGTTGGAAAGGGTCAAACCCCATTCAAATTTGACATTTTTTAAGAGACAATAAAACTTTAGCCAATAACTCGAAAGTTACCGAAATAATAATAATAACGCACACACTCAAAATAGCCTCGCACTAAAGAAACCCTGTGTCGCGGGTGCCATGGACACACACATAGACAACCACAAATTTCCCCCTAAACTCACGAGAGAACTAAATGTAGGCTATACAAATAATTCTCCCGGCCCTGGAATCGAACCTGGGACCTCTGCGTGGCAGTCCGGTATGGTAACCGTTCGGCCACAGAGTTAGTTATGACACGAAGGGCATAATAGTAAACCAAAGTATGAAAAGTAAATTTATACAAATACATACTTATGTATCATAAACTTGCTTTTTTGTTTCTGTAGAAAAGATTGTAAAGAAATTTTGAGATTCGAAAGAAATTCGTTTGTTCGTGACTGTTCTAAAAGTAGTTATTTTGATTACTTTTTTTGCGTAATTCCAGACACGGGTGGAAGTGGATGTTACTCATCAGCATATCTATTGCATTTGCAAGCGACGATTGTGAAAAGAAAAACAACCATCGGGACAAGAGGCAAGTCAATGGCTTACCCCTGATTTATCCTTACGGAGGAACTTATAAGGTAATAAACACTCCCTGATATTGAAAAAATAAAACGTGTATTTTATTTTATTTAAATAATAAAAAATAGATTCTGTAACGTAAGCAGTACAGAATGGGGGACAAGAGAAATTAAAATGAAAATGTCGTTAATTCGGTATTTATTCGGGCAGAGTCACATCCTATTAATAGTTGATGTAATAATGTAATGTTACTATGGCGCTAACTCGTATTTATACTTATTCCTTTCCAAAAATCAATTAGATACTAGAATTCAAAATCTTCGTACATAGATGAGAGACTACGTATTGAAAATCTATTTGGAATTAATAATAAATCGAGCACAGCATCAAACTATCAGTTCTGGACAAGTATATAAATTTTCAAGTAAAATATTAATTTAATACTAGTAGTATCTTGAAACTAAGTGGTGTTATGTAATTATTTTACATAATACATTTCTAATTAGTAATTTTAGGATTGTGAGAAATTAATAATTATTTATCATTTTCGAGTTCTTAGGTTTTCGCGATTGTTACACATAGGAAATAAAACTATTTTTCCGGATTTATATCGCGTATATTGTTTTTTTTATGTATGTATATTTATTATCTTTGTAAAATTAAAAATAAGGTATTTAATTAATAACTATTGTAAATATAGTGAAAAAATAGGGTGGTTTGCATCATTATTAGACATAACTGGTTGAAGACTGTACCACCTCAGTCAACCGTGACCATGCGACCTGTAAAGGGTCCGAAACGTCGCTTTGTTTGAAAAAACAAATATACGCAATTTAAATCCGGAAAAATAGTTTTATTTCCAATATTTATTTATTTATTTACAAGTATTTCTATTTATTGAATGTATTTGTAATTACAATTATGGATCGAGGGCTTCATGTGCGGATGGCGGTGGCGCCACAAGTGCACATCGAAACTAATAATTCATTACCAATGGGTAACAACCATGAAAAACGTAAGAACTCGTTAAATAACTTAGCTTCACTAGCTTAGCTAGGAAAGGCTTTCTTTCCCAATAGAAAACTGCGCGTAAAAGCTTTTTTCCACTCTAGCATGGTTTTTAAAATTCGGACTTGACGATGGGCTGTGGTGCACCCATTGACTTACAAATAAATGGACGACGGGTCTAATACAAAAACCACGAAAAAAAGTCCCAAGTCAACATATTCGAAATTTAAATTGTCATCGCAGTATCGCGCTGTCAGTCGAACAAATGAAGACAAAAGCGGAGTTTGACGCTCTGTATACGATTTTAACGCCTTACAAGTGCGGACACTTTTTAGCGCGGACCCGACGTCCATATAATTGCATGTCAATGGGTGCACCTAATATTTTCTTTCGATAAAAAAAAATAAACATAATGACACGTTCAACTAAGCAATTCGTCCATTATTTATGTAATATAAATCGGTTGGTATATTTTATTCTTATTATTGTTGACATTAAATTGACGACGATAACTAATTTTGTTTATTAAATTATTTTGTTAACTGTTTTTCTTTGGTCTACCATTTTCCTCGCTATAATGAGGTGAAATGTGTTTCGCTCGGCAGCGAAGTTGTTTTACGTCTCGTGCCTTGAAACCCTCGCTATGTCAGCGTTCCATTTTTGATAATCTTAGGACCCTTCGTTTGCTCCGGTTTCAATACAAGCACCCGCGTCAAAGAACAACTTTGCAACCGTGCATCATAATTAACTATTATTTTATATTGCAGCTTCTCATTGGTTTTACAATGCCAGTGAAAACAACGGACTTCGTCAACCTTTATTTCACGGCCAACTTCCAGTACCAATATCTGCAGTTCACCAACGTCTCTGCTCTTTCTCGGTATTACTTCATTAAGGAAGTGTCGAGGGAACAACGGGAGGTGGTTATGAAGAATCAAAGAGATGAGAGAATTGTATTTTATGAGTCTCTTGCTGATTGGCTGAATAGGTAAGCATCAATTTTATGGTAGCTACTAAATAAAAATGAGTGACGATTTCATTTATCTGGTTTTAAAGTAGGAAATTCCCTATAGTATACTTATACTACAGGGAATTTCTACCCAGGACACTCAGACCAAACACAATGTGGGAAACAACATTTCTCTAACTGGAAATCGAACCAGACACCTCTTCATCCAGCGCCCAACTGCCTCCGTGGCCGAACGGTTACCACGGTGGACTGCCAAGCAGAGGTCAATTCCCAGGCCGGGAGGAATGTGTGTATGGCCTACATTTATTTCTCTCGTGAGTATGGGTGTAATTTGTGGTTGTCTATGTGTGTGTCCATGGCACCCGCGATACAGGGTTTCCCTAGTGCGAGGCTATGAGTGTGTTGCGTTATTATTATTACTAAGAAAAATAAACATTTCTCCACAAAACAGGAATCGACAATCGAATAGAAATCATAATACTTAAAAACTAATAGAAAATCTAATTCAGTGATGTAGACAAAAAGATCAAAGGCTTACAGCATTGCTGATTTTTAGTTTTCACCTATACCTAGCTGTTTGCTTGCTCCACTAAGCTAATATGCGGAGTGTACACCAAGTGTATCACGCTTTATGGCGAAGCATTTCAACGCGGTCCTAGATTTTGGGAGGTGAGGCCCCACCTCACCTTACGGTTTCGCCACTTGCGTACCGCAATCCGCGCTGTAAATATGAATTAAAAAAGAACAGACAGAAAAAATTTTACACCAATCCGACGTCGACAATCGTCCGATAGCGACTGACGGGGCAACGGGCGATGCGACATTTCATTAAATCGCTGGGCAATTTGACAATTTTGGGATAGATAACATTAAATTCAATAACTAATAGGGCTATCCAGCAGGTTATTTATATTTATAGGAACTAAATTTCAGATCGGAAAAGTGCGAGAGTCTTGTCCTATAAAGGTCAACGATTATCCTATAGTTGAGTCTCTGAAAGTTCGGAATTTGGGTATGTTGATGGATGGATGACTCAGATTCGATAAAATATGTGCATTCTAAAGAACCAAAGTGCTATGGCGCATTAAAAAGACTTTACAAACTGCGACCTTATTTGAGGAATGAGGTGAGACGGAGATTGACGGACTCGTTGATACTACCTATCATAGATTACGGCGATATTGTGTATTGTCCCTGTTTGTATAAAAAGACTGTGCGAAAAATTCAAAGAGTTTAGAACTCCTGTATGCGGATTCGCCCACATCTGACGTCATTCATAGTCAGCTTCCGCTTTGCCGCCACTAAATGTTGGAATGACCTTCCACCAGTGAAGACGGCTGAGTCTTTTTATACATTCAAAAGAATGGCTTATTTTGCAACAGAAGTATCATGTTCCTGGTCGATTGTGGAATAGTAATTATAGTTTGTTAACAGTCATTTGTACCCTTTGTCGTCCTGATTAGATTTGTTTGTTTTTGCTTGATGTGTGTTTTATTGTCACTTGTAACTAGTAAATAAATAGTTGGATATAAGTTAGATTAATGATGTTTGTTTTGTTGTAGTCCGTTTGCTCAAAATTATGTTCCGACAATATCCGACAGAGAACACAGGCGGAGACTGAAAAACAGCACCATGCTGAGGCTTCGTCCTTTTCGTCACTCATAGCTCATAATTTGTTAGTACGTAATATCGTGTGATGTTCCATGTATTTGTGTGGGTGTGTTTGGTGAATAAAGTCCTATTAATTTAATTTTAATTTAATTGTATAGTACTTAAATAGAAATATCTCAATATCTACAAACTTACATATGTTATACTAAAATAGACTATTATATTCATTGACTTACAAATAAATGGACGACGGGTCTAATACAAAAACCACGAAAAAAATGTCCCAAGTCAACCTATTTAAACGTAGTGACATGTAAAGGAATATGAAAAAACTAAAACGTTGAATTTAAATTGTAATGTCATCGCAGTACTGTCAAATTTTGCTTGCTTCGCTGTCAGTAGAACAAACGAAGACTAGAGCGTGAATGACGCTCTGTATACGATTTTAACGCCCTATAAGTTCGGACACTTTTTAGCGCGGACCCGACGTCCATGTGATTGTAAGTCAATGATTATATTACTAAAATTTATATGTTATATTTTTATTTTTATAATTATACTAAAGCCAAAAGTGTTGCAAAAATTCTAGACAAGGAGTGACCGGCAAGCAATGTGTGCTTCGTGCGATCTGTGAGGCTGCGCAGTATCCCGTCGAAAAGGAAGGATTGATCGGTGAACTTATACACATTTTACTTACGTAAGTTTCTTAGAAATTCATCGTTAATATTCATATTTCTTTTTACCTTTTTATATCAACTAAATTGGCTATCGTACGATTAGTCGTCGAATGGCTTTCCCACCATAGATTATAAATTCCCTACCGAAGCGCAGTAGTCTTCCTTATTTTCCTTTTTTCATAGTTCTGTACTTTCTGCGAATTTCACAATTGTATATTTTTCCTATAGACTTAAAATCCTTTTGACGTTAATTAACTCGGGTCACAGATCGAAAACAAAAAAACTGAACGAAGTTCAGTATTGTCATAATCTGTAGAATTGTATTTTTTATGTTAGTTTCCAATTTCATGCATATCGTTTGAGAAACGTTCGAGTAATTCCATCCGTAGATTGTGTAATTTGAATGGATGCCAAGTAAACTTCAGAATATCAGTTGCTCTTGTTATGACAACAATTTAAAAAACCCTTGGACAACTTATCGCAAAACGATTTTCATAGACAGGCAATTAACAATATTGTTCCTGCAGTCGTATATTGCCTAAAATGTACAATATACCACGTTTTAATGAGGTTACACAAATATTATTCCACTTACATCTAAGTAGGCTGCTGGAACATCAACCCGTTTCACCTGGCTATCAATTTCTCAAGAAATTCTAAATAAATAAGGATCTAAGAAGTTACCCTGAAGTACACCTTCGGGAGGGCGTGTCTGGAATGCATGCGGGGTACGATTAATGGCTTGCACTCGGGAAGTGTGTTAGGAATCCGGAATAGAGACAAATAGCTTCCAAAGGATGCTTATTAGTAGCTTACTTGGAACTTGAGGCAAGATTATCGTGAGCTCCATTTTTCTTTGGAAAATGTTCGACATTTCGTCGCTAGCTATTTGTGGAAGAATAATTTGGTACTTTGTCGAATGGTGAAGTGGAAATTGATATTGGTTAGGGAATACTGAATTCTCTTTTAAGGTATTCTATCAACTTCGCATAATGCCCGGAGCATTTTTTGTTTAAGTTCTTTTTGTTTATTTATTCGTGAAATACGATATTTGCAAATAACAAGGAATTAATTACTTTGTCAGATGTGAAGTTTAGGATGTAGGGTATTTTTTTATGATATCAAGTAATGGGATGAGCAAGTAGCGTGCCTGGTGGTAAGCGACAGGTCTACCCATAACAGTTGTCCACCACCGTGAGACAAAGTTGGCGCGTCCCATGTACCTGTAATTTCACCAGCACCCTTACCCTTCAAAACCAGAACGCAGTAATACTTACACTACTGCTGGCGGCAGAAATAGGCATGATGGCAGTACTTCTCTGGACAAACTTTTTCTCAACGAATGTATGTTGAAGACGCTGATTTAAATCCAACCAAATTGACAGATTTTTTCTTACCGTTCGATCTTTGTATTAATTATTAAATTATAATGATATATTAATGATGTTTTTTAGCCCAGACTATGGTCACTTAGAAGATGAAGATGAGGACTGGAAAGAAACGATGGCTGTATACATCGACGCTGCAACGGCTGGGAGACAGATGTTCAGTTGTTTGTCTATCTACAGTGAATGTCCAGAAGGACAAGGGCTTATGGAGCTCGTTACTAAGCTCGGAGATCAATAAAGTAATTCATATAGATACAAGTGCAATCATTTTATCAAGTATCATAAATACAGGTATCATGTTTTTAATATTGCTATAGTCTTGTAAGTTACCCTGGGCACTGGGTAGATATATCAATCTCTATCAGAGATGGGTAAGAGACCGGGTTTTGTCTCGGCGTTTTGCTAAGCGGGTTTTTAACGGGTTAAAACCTTCTTATTAGTTTAGAGACAGAGCAGACAGCGAGCCAGCGTAACTGAGAATATTGTCTGGTTTATATATATATATATATATATATATATATATATATTTACTTTGTATATTAGTCATACATAGTCATACTAGTCATACATAGTCATACCATCATTTTTTTTTTAATTAATCTGTTAAATGTTGTTAATAAATTCAACAGATATAATTATTAATATCCGATGTTTATCGTGGCGGTGGTGTACTTAAATTTGATTATGTTGAAAAACGATGTGTCAACAAGGCCAGGCTGACAATCAGTTCCGCGTGGCATACAGCCACAAGGATTATACTGAGCCTGTTCCTTCCACGCACTGTTGTTGTTCCCACAATATTGTTATATTATTATGTTCTGTTCGTATTACTGTGTGTGGTATATAAATGATTTAAATGGTTTAACATTCTTATAAAACAAAAATTACATTGAAATTTCTAACAAGTATGGAATTATACCAATTTATACCGCGTCACCGCCTGTAATGCTCGCTTTTGAACGCCACATTACAAGAGCATGTTCGCGCAGTTAGTGAGATGTTATCGACTCGAAAAACATAAGTACTAAAACGGTATTGTTACTTAAAAAAACAATGTTAAAATGAGAAGTAATCGTACGTAATTATTTAATAAAAAATGAATTCTAATTATTTTATTATAAAAAACACAAAAAATCATTATCCATGTTTTAGGATAAATACTCAGTAAAAACGGATATTTATTGGATATTTATCCTTTGACGGATATTTTATCGGGTAAAAATCCATCTCTAGGCACGGCATGCTAGAAGACGTCGGTCCAAATCCGGCCGGATCGAAGGAATTTTTTTCTAAGTGTTCGATCTTAGTATTTAATAATTATTACAAACTAGGGGAGTAATTTCACAGAAAAATAATTGAATATCAATTCAATGAGAATTTAAATATATGTACCAATTATACCACGCATCAAAAAATCCCGGTTAAAACCCGGGCGGTTTGATAAGTATTTAATCCACTGTCCATCTCTAATCTATGTAAGAAAAAAAAAGACAAATCGACGAAAGGTTCAAGATATTATCATCCCCTGAAACAAATTTTCGTGTCTTATTTTTTCTTATTTTACTACCAGAAAAAGCCTCGAGCTGAAAGATTGCAATGAAACGTCAGCGTCGCGTAAGCACCAAATAAATCTACTTAGTTACAGAGACTCAATAAATCCCTCTGACATCTAAATCGGCCACCAACTGATTGCCCATTGGTGCCTAAGGGATACTACCCTCGATTCTCGACTTTTTCTTTGATAGACGAAGCTGTTACTTTGGTTATACAATTCCATAATGTGCGATGTTTCTTACATAAATGTACGAAATTCTGTGTATTCACGCTAAAATATCAGTGCCTCCAGTGAGAAAGGGAATAACTCAAAATCGACACTTTTGAGGAGAGGCAAATAACCATACGGGTACGGGTAACGGGTATTACCAATTATGTCCAGTGGAACAAACGGAAAATTCAGTTATACGTGAGGCGCACTATAAGTTTTCGGAATGAATAGGAAAAAAATACTATAAATGGTCAGAAATTAGTTTATTGTTTCTCAAAATAATCTCCGTTAGCGTTAATGCACTTTTTCACATGAATGATCAATTTTGAAAACATTTATGCCACTCCTCCGTGACAATATCTGAAACATATTTTTCATACTCTTCGAGAGCCTCTTCACGTAATGAAAATCGTTGACCGCGTAACTGGTTCTTAATTTATGGAAATAAATAAAAGTCACAAGGTGCCAGGTCGGGACTGTACGTGGGGTGGCTCATAAGGTCAACGTTGTTCACCTTCAAAAATTCATTTGTCTGTGTGGCCGTGTGAGTACTGGCATTATCGTGGTGCAAGATGATACGGCGTTTACGGTTATTTTTACGGAGTTTGTCAATAACTTTTGCAAACAAATGGTCATGTACCAATCACTATCCACGTACAACGATTCTCCAAAGCAACAGTAGCCAAGTGTCCAGTTTTATAAAAAAAAGAAGCAATCATTCGCTTAGTGGCACTTTGCACGTGCGCCACTTTGGTTGGTTTCGTGCGTGGCTTTGGGTGGCTCATCTCGAAGGACCCATACGCTCGGTTGCTGCTTTGTTTTGGGACCGTAACTATAAATCCATGTTTCGTCACCTGTCACATAGTGTCTCACACCAAATTTGACGCCTCTTCGTTGAATCTGGTAAGCATGGCATTGAACCAGGTGACACGATCCGTTTTTGAGCCTCAGTCAAATTATGTGGGATCCACCGAGAGCACAGCTTTTTCACACTCAAATGTTTGTGTACTATTGACTGTATTTGACTCATGCCTATGCCTAACGATGCCCGAATCTCATGGTATGTCACTGCCTGTATGTGTTGAATTCTGCAAACCAGCTATAAATAGTCGTCTTGCATGGTGCTTCATCGCCAAAAGCAGTTTGAAGCCGAGTGAAGCCCCGCTGAGCTGTTAAATTACACTTAAAGTGGTAGAAAATCACACTACGAAAATGTTCACGAGCTAAATCCATGGTGATGTAGACAACCAATTTCTAAAATGACGCCATAATGTAAAAACAAGTGACAATCAGATGAAACAAGCTGTATTATACAGCCAAAGAGTTTTCAAATGTTGTAATTACTTTTGAAATATTGTTTATGTAAGTATCCAGTTCCGGAAACTTATAGTGGGCCCTGTGTATTTTTATGGACTCTGTGGAATAAGGTAATAGTCGCTTTTAGTCCTACTTTTTTCCCCGTTATTGTGGAAAACTACGAAAAGTGTCTTTATGTAAAAATATATCTACAGTCATTCGTTAAACTTGCCTGTATTTTTTGAATGAGAGCACTTGTACCTTTAGACTTCTAAAAAATACCGGATAACTAAGATTATTCGTATAGGAACAGTGAGTTATGCCCTAAATTCAATAAAAAAAAAACGAAGTTAGGAGACTGCTAGGGAAGCGTCCTTTTGATATGTTAAGTAATCGGACACGCTGAATCCAATGATGCAATAAAAACGAAAAGGCATAACTCGTCTTATTCCGTTTTTCACTGGAGGCACAGATATATAGAATAGAAATTTATTTTCTCCTAATAGCTTACAAATATTACAAAGACATTGTGTACAAGTATAGATATAAATAATGCTACAATCGGAGACTGTTTGATACCAGTCTCCCATTGTGGATATAATACTAGGTAAAAGCTGTGTTATGGATCGTTAGGCCTCCACCCCACAGACGTAAGAGTATAAATTGTACCCAAATACACTTATAGTTTAGTAAATATAAATCACTAAAAACTTGATAATTTAAATCAAACGTATGAGTGAGTTTGTGTGTATGTGTGATGAACGTAATCGTGTGTTTGTATTGTATGAGCGAGGTAGTTTCTCTAATCTATGAAATCTATGAGAATATAAAAGACGTCTAGTTTATTCGGACACGGATACTCGTAAGACGACATTATTTTTTTTTATATTTGTTAATACAAATATCGAACACAAAGACAACATTCTTTGAACCTGACAGGACTTGTGTCTGTGTCATTCCAGGGCGACCGCTTTACCAACTCAGCTGCAGATCGAGTGAGCTGTCCATATTTCTTTTTATGATACTAAGTGATGGGACGAGCACGTCGTGCGCCTGTTGGAAAGCGACACGCCTGTCCATAACAGTTGCAGTGCCACTCGGTGTTTTAAATCGCAAAGATCTGCTTGTAATTTCACCAGCATCCTTACCTTTCCAAACCGGAACGCAGTAATGCTCACGTTACTGCTTGGCGGCAGAAATAGGTAAGGTGGCAGTACTTCCCTGGACGAACTCTTTCAAAAGGAACTCTACTGCTGCTAATTTTTCTATGCGTTTATTACAGGTCTTTGTCCTTGGGTTTAACGTATTTTTTATCGTTGCGCCATCTGTTTAATGACAATAATAATATAAATTTCGTCGACTCACTTTCTCAAACTCGTATTGAGCACAAAGTTACTGAAAGACTAGATTGTAAATACAAATTTTGTAGACTGATTTTACATCACATTTCCTTCATATTCTTTTTCTTCATATTCATTATAGACATTGGATTGTACCTATTCTTAAAGTAATGCATCCCAATTAACACCCTTGATAAGAAATTTAAAATAAATAGAAAGTTTTACCAGCTCCTGAATAATCACTCTGAATAAGATACGAGTTTGAGAAAGTAAGGCATCGATTTGACATTTTTGTTTTCAGTTATTTATTCGGAAATGAAACTTTTGTATAATTATAAAAAATTGCCCATCAAACGATTTGTTTGTGGTTTTTATTGTACCTAATGAATTCATCGTATTTTTTATCTGTCGTTTTCTCCGCTTATTTCTTGACTTTTTCGAATGATCATTTATTTGTGGAGAGCTTGAGGCGCTGGTGATGATTGCAAAGAAAACACTCCGTTTGAAACCACTATATTTTAATGGAAATATTATAATTTACGAAGCCACACGTTACGCTGTTAATGGTAAGAGGAAGACGCCGAGACCCTTGCCAATGACACAAAATTACATTAATTTTGCTATTGCCAACAGAACACTTAGAAAAAATTCCTTTGATCGGACTGGATTCGAACCAACGTGTTCTAGCAAACCGTGCCATTCGCTATGCCAACTTAGCTACGGAACAAATCTACTTTACGAATTTTTCTGTGCTGTTGCAAATCTTGCAATTCTTAACGACTTTTTTTCCGTAACGCCATCTGTGAGAAATCTGTTTCTTCACTCAACCAAGTACCT